CTARGTATACTAGTCTATCTAARAGCTTATTATAGTTATAGCCTAGTCCTTAAGCCTAGTAAAGGCATACTATATATAGTTATAGTAACTACTAAATATAAAGTAGTTAACTTCTAGCTTCTATAGTAAGTTAGAATAGAAGATATTATATATAGCCTTATTAATACTATTAAATTAGTTAAGATTAGATAGAATTAGTTTAGGCCTTCTTACTAGTTTATTTATAGGTATAGCAGTGAGAGTAGGCACTATAGGAGTTATCTAAGTAGTAGGTATTACTACTATAGGAGTAGTATCTATCTAGGGGGCAGTAGCTATCTACTATACCTCTATCTAAGCTATTTAATCCATAATCTCTTATAACTATTAGGCCATTTAGGCCATAGGGTCTATCTATATAGTATTCTATTACTATATATATCCTTTGCTTAGTCCTTCTAGTGATGTTAATATCTGTAATAACATATTATTATAGTTTATACTATCTATACTATCTGTATCATCTATTTCAGCTATTATAGATATCTAACTATTTCATCTAGTTCTGCTTAGCTGGTTCTGTGGTTCAGCTGTCTCTCACTAGTTCTATCTGACTATCTGATTTAACTGGTTTGTCTAGTTTGTCTGGTTCATCTGGTTCGTCTGGTTCTATCTAACTATCTAGTAGCAAGCAATTTCTAATGTCACAGGCTAGAAGCCTTATAAATCTATAACCTAGATTTAGATGGTAAGAAATCACTAAAGGGTTCTAACTAGGGCTATAACAGCTGAACATAAAAAGGAGTGTGTGAATGGTGGATAAGATTATATAACCAGATTAATTACTACATTGATTGCTACAAGGGTCATGTGACTGCTAGTGTCCTTACTAGATAAAAGTTCATTAGTGCCTGAGGCAGATCGCGAGTGCCTAGTAGGCTTGAGCACTCAGCAGGCCCTGCCCACTACAATTTAGGCTATAAGGTCTATCTATATAGTATTCTATTACTATATATATCCTTTACTTAGTCCTTCTAGTGATATTAACATCTATAATAATATATTATTATAGTTTATACTGTCTATGCTATCTGTATCATCTATTTCAGCTATTATAGATATCTAACTATTTTATCTAGTTCTACTTAGCTGGTTCTGTGGTTTAGCTGTCTCTTACTAGTTCTATCTAACTATCTGATTTGACTGGTTTGTCTGGTTTATCTGGTTTGTCTGGTTTGTCTGGTTTGTCTAGTTCATCTAGTTTGTCTGGTTTGTCTGGTTTGTCTGGTTTGTCTGGTTTGTCTGGTTTGTCTGGTTTGTCTGGTTTGTCTGGTTCTGTCTGACTATCTAGTAGTGAGTGATTTCTAATGTCACAGGCTAGAAGCCTTATAAATCTATGACCTAGATTTGGATGGTAAGAAATTGCTAAAGGGTTCTAACTAGGGCTGTGACGGCCAAACATAAAAAGGAGTATGTAAATAGTGGATAAGATTATATAACTAGATTAATTACTATATTAATTACTACAAGGGTCACGTGACTGCTGGTGTCCTCACTAGACAAGAGTTCATCAGTGCCTGAGGCAGATCACGAGTGCCTAGTAGGCTCGAGCACTCAGCGGGCCCTGCCCGCTACAATAGAGATATATACAGTAGATTATGTGATTAGCTAGGTCTAAACCCTCTGCACTATTAGTGTTGGCTGCATATGGCGGCTTTATGGTTCGCCGTAGCCCTTAACATAGTCAGTCTTCTCCAGCATCTTATTATTAGCCTTAGAGGGGTTATCTTAAGGAGATGTTGAGATATTATTATAATAGTTTTAGCTTCTAGTTTAACCTATCATCCCAGCTTGGAAGGTGGTTAATATATTCAAGGAGTATACTCCTATAAAGTAATAGCAGTAGTAGCATGCTTAATAGTTATATAGTTTGTTAGTCATCTTCCTCCTTTAGATATCAAATAGATACTTACATGGTTGGTCCATGGCATCTAGTATGGGTAATAGACGCCGCTGGCTTTATACCATAAATTAGGTTTTATTAGATGCATCAATGGTTGAAGAGGTGTTTAACAATATGGAAGAGGTCAAGGTGGTCTATTATATGGCGCCAGCCCGCGTAGTTGCTTGGGAACCAGAGGAGGTATGAGAGCAGTTGTAAGCAGTCAAGGAGCAGTCAGAGGATAGGTCCTAGGAGTAGTTGTGAGCACAGTTAAGGGAATAGCTGAGAAAGAAGTCAAGGGCAGAGTTGAGAAAGAGGTCAAGGGAATAGTTTATAACAGTAGTTAAGGGAACAGTCAGGTGAGAAGTTAAGGACAGTCAAGGGAATAGGTGAGGGTATGGCCAATGGAACAGTTGATAAAGGAGTCAAATAAACACTCAAGGGAGAAATTAAGTAGAAGTTAAGGGAATAATTCATAATAGCAGTTGAGGGAATAATTAAGGGAATAGTTAAGGGAATAGTTAATAGTAAGGTTAATAGAAGAAGTTAATATAGAAGTTAAGGAAACACTCAGGGAATAGTTAAAAGAGAGGTTAAGAGAACAGTTAAGGGAACAATTAAAGGAATGGTTAAGGGAAGAGTTAACACAGACATTAAGGGAGAAGTTAAGGGAGAAGTAGTGGCAGGGAAGTGATTATTAGAAAATTAGTTATTAATAGTAATGCTATTAATATGCTAATAAACTAACTTCCTAATTATTAGCCATCAAACTACTCATCCAGAAAGGTGTATAGACACCATTTCTAACATAGTAGGAATGATAATGTATAATCTAGTTAATATAAGCATTAACTGCTAGGTCTTCAAGCTTAGACATATATATGTGTGGCCTTTAACAGCAGTGCTATTAATATACTAATAGACTAACTTTTCAGCAATGACTGCCAAGTCCCTAACCTTAAATATGTATGTGTGGTCTTTAACAGCAATATTATTAATATATTAAGAGACTAACTATCTAATAAGTCATCAAGCGCGAATGCATACATATGGTCTTTAATAGTAATGCTATTAACATACTAACAAGCTGGCTTTCCAGTGACCCTCAAGCACAAATACAGCATATAGCCTTTAATCACAATGCCATTAACATGCTGACCAATCAACTTTCCAGCAATGACTGCCAAGTCCTTAATGTGGAATGCATCTATGTGGCCTTCAGTAGCAGTATCCTTCAATATACTGATAGGCTTTTTATTCTTCTGCATTAATAAACAACCTCTAATATCTATTAGTAACACAATCCAGTATCCTTAATTAACTTAGCATCATTCACTGACCTCTCCTCATCTATCAGATCCTCAATACTTATGAATTACTTACCTCTGCACTCATTTTCTTGGCCACCAAGGTCTCAATCTTATTATTAATGCCATGAACTCTCCAAAAGTAGGACCAGCAAGGTTTTGATGTATCTGCAACTTTGTCTTTCCAACAAAAGGCCTGAAATCTCATGTCTAGTGATCCCTGTGCTGGCTGATATTGCGCTCAATTGGGAGGGATCTTCATTGTATACCTACCTTTATAGCAGTCACAGCACCAAAGCTCATTGTTTCCCCGCAATTCCATCAATGACCATGTTGAACTGTATAGTATTTTGCATTTTTCGCATCAGCATTCCATATCTTAAACTTGCTCTTGCATTATGGGAAGCGCATCGGACCATCATGACAAGTCTTGTAACATGTGTCACAGAGCCATTCTTTGAGGTCTTTTTCCCATCTCCTTCTACAAGTTTTCAGATCGCACTTGTAATGGTAGCATGTCTGTCTTCCTTTTTTAGCTTTATTAATTAATTCAGCAGGCCTCACTTTAGACTCATGAGTTGTGATATTGCTCTAGCGCGGCACATGACACACAGACCAGTTCACCATTCTGTTTTGGCCACTCCCATTTCTTAGTATGGTCCATACGCCCACATCTGGTGCATGTCTTCGAGCCCTTTGGTATTGGCTTTCGCTGTCGCTGAATATTCCCAGTCTTTTGCCTGACGTTGTAGCACCGCCTGCATACCACTTTTATTGAGCTATTAATGTTCAAGGTTGTCCAAGTCGTCCCGTCAGCCTCGGTCTTGCAGAGGTAGCATACCTTGTGCTTAATGTCCTTCAGCCAGATTTTCTTCTGTTTTCCCTCTTTCTCCGCTTCCTCTTCTTTATTCTTTTTCTTTTTCTGAATCTGTCTATGCACTTTGCCGTAGCATTTATCACACACAATCTTGCCAAGCTCTCCGGGTTTGTTGTACCACCTGAGGGACTCAGTAGCTGGGCACATGGTGCATCTGGGAGTCACCTTCCGTGATTGAGCGAGTTTTCATTTTCAGATGGCTGGGACTGCAGAAGCTTGAAATGGACTATACATACAGTGGGAAAGGACGAAGCCATACGGACTATAAGCGACGACGGTTAAATCGTACTACATGGTATTCTGAAGGGCCATTTAGCCGTGTATGGACGCGGAGAATAATCTGGGGTGAGAATGTATATCGGCGCAATCGGAACTATAGAAGCTTCTCTTAGCCTAAAGTCTTGTTCTGACGGTGACATCGGATTAATATCTTCTCGGCTGTAGCTTGACCTTTTTAAATGAATCTTTGTCGATCACTACACAGGTCAGGAACAGTGACACTGACATTCCATTGCATGGTTACTTCAGCTTGGGAACCTGTCCGATAGTCTGTAGATCAGTATCAGATAGGCACGTATGTCCAAGGATTTCATCCTGTAATATCAGATTAGTAACTGCATATAGTACAAGTGTCTACCGACACTTTGACTGAAGACAGTTTACCATGCAGTAACAGGCCAAATATACATTGTATACAATGTAGGGTTAGTGGTTAACCAACCTAATCCCATCCAGACCTCGGCATCTCCAGTCCAAGCATATCCATCTCCTCCCCAACTAAGTACCTCTACACACATACTCACCAACTACACGCTCCCATCCCCCAATCTACCCAATGCAGGAAAAAAAAAAAAGGGGGGGGGGAGGGGTTGACCTCGACTGTCAGTGTCTCACATCAACCGAATCGCATGAACTTACACGAGGTTTGGTTGTCCGCTATCGAGTCGGACAGGATCTCGGCCAGAACAAGAAAAACGCCACATCGTTCGTTGAGCACCTGAATGCGCGGTTTGATCTTGAGGTACTCGCTCACGGCAATGTAGAGGGGATACAGACTCGGCTCGCTTTCCCAGAAGAAATTCGGACCTCGAGCATGTTCGATGCTGCGATAGCATGTTAGAGGTGTCATTCAGTCGGACCGGGCATCGGACCGGGCAGATAGTTTGTACTCCGTGTCCTGTGATATAGCTCAATAGTATATCAGTATATCAGTCTGTAGAGGATGTAGATCTTCTGTTATGGATTGAAAGTTTTCTTGTGACTTCCATGTCCAGGCTCCATTGCGCCACAGGACCCCTTTCACCTCACCCACTCTGCATGCCACAAAACTAGTCCCTATACAAATGCGGAAGTGTATTTCTTACCACCTGTAATATAGCCTCACGTATTTAGATTAATGTCTGTCTCCTGGGTGTCAGTAGATCCATTATCAGGATAGAAGCCACATATCCCTCTTCTCCATCCCGGAGGCGTAATCTCATGCAACGGTGACCGGTCGACCAGACCCTCTCTCTCCGTGGCCCACAGGAGTTTCCTGCCCGTTATCTGCTCATGTCTCCACGCCAAACAACTTCCCTTATACATGGACCGGTACTCGGAAACACTGAGGGCCGGTGGATCCCGAACGATAAAATCTCCCCGATCCGCCAAAACCGCAGCCGGAAACCGGGATCCCAACGTAGTCTCTTTCCACGTTTGATCCTCGGCAAAGACCGATCTATATTGTGAGGGAGTGACCAATTCGCGGCCCTCGGGGGTTCGAATAACGGAATAGAAGCTCATAGGCGTTGGTCCCTTTACATCGATCCAGGGTATTGCCCAGGTCTTGTTATTGACAATATCCCTGCGGTTCCAGGCGGCGTAGACTGACTCGTCGTTGTTATCGTTGAGTTGACCGTCGAGAAGCCAGAGACGTCGGATCCGCGGGAAGCTGCCGCGTAGAAACAGGTGTCTTAGGCATTGCACCAATGCTACCCGCGCCGGTGGTAAGGCTTCACTCGCCGCGGTGGCGCCATTGATATTGCAGGTCAGGGCACTGCCCCAGAAATTGCAGTTGATGATGAAGGTCTGAAGAGCGGGGTAATAGTAATGAGAAAGAGGAGGAGGATTCTCACGCTGGAGTGATCCGTCTATGGCAAAGTGATCCCCGAAAAGGGCCGGACAGATCGTTCCAATTTCCAGACGGAGGTGGTGCAGCCGGGACAGGTGCGGAGAAATCATCTCGCATATATGAGCCGATCCGGGACCTTTGGATTCAATATTGACAGGATCCAGATCAAGTTCTAGGTTGATGCAGGACTCTGGCAAGGCTGCTAATATCGAGCCTATCATGTCTTTGTGGAGTTCATATCGGCCGCCACTGGCGATGATGATTGATAAGGTGGTGAGATGTGTCATTCGGATCAGGATGGAGGGGAACTTCTCCAATGGGAGAAAACACTGGTTCTTGATTTTTTCATTCCGCTCAGCTATTGGACCTGGTGGTGTTCGGTAGTCTTTCGGGTTCAGCGATATTGTCAACGACTGGATTAATTGTAAGATATGGTTGTGTCTGGAGGATGGCTGGAGAAACTGGTCGGTAAAGCATTTTAAATTATGAATGCGAAGAACAATATCTCGGTAGGTCATTGGTAGAGTGACCGTATACCATGCTTTACAGCAGAGGAGACACGAAAGAATGGATGAGTGAGAGGACAGGGAGGCGGATGATGGTTGTCTGACATAGTCCAAGATGAGGAAGAGTACTTCTGATGGGAGCTTGTTGATTGGAGAGGACATCATAGCTATCTTGTATTATCTTGATAGTCTTACGTTGAGCCAAAGTTGGATGAATTGGAGTTGGGATGTTACCGGAGGAGGGTTGAAGTTGGAGGGGTTGAAAGAGCAAGGATAATTTAGTAGGGGTTTTGTTTTGTGAAGCAAGGACCTGTGAATTTCCTATTATGTTTAGTTTTACTGTTTTAGATATGGTCTCCCGGTCTTCTCCCCACAGAGAATGATTATGTTGATCCCAAGCTGCTTTTGAAAAGATTTATTCTCCCCTTTATCTACCCTGATGGCACAATGGCTCTTTCATTAGTGGATACTGATTGAGAACACTTGGTATCGCGATTCTGAGGAAAGATTAAATCGCACCGGGTTCGATTTGGTTGTGGGTTCTAAAATTTGGGCTCGAAACTGCAGTGGTTCGGTGCCAACTAGGCCTGGACTCGCCCGAACTCGCACCAAATGCAACTCTAGGAACTATTCTAATAACTATACCTTGCAAAGCTATGTGACTGTCAATTAGAGGTATTTGAATATATAGTGTAGAAGCCTTGTTCCTTCACTCTAATCCTTATAACCTGATTAATCTCTTCATAGATTTAATTATTTTCTTCCTCCCCTTTAAGATATATATATGGAAAGAAATCTATGAAGACTATGATAGCTTTAAATCTATCCTTAATCTCATCATAGGGACGACTGGTAAACAGAAACTTCAACCAGGTTTCAGGCATCAATAAATTAGTTCAACAGTAGAAGTCCTCGAGTCTCCAAATGAGTTATTTTTGATCATTCGGGTGACATTCATCCAATGCATCGAGCAGATTCGTATTGTTATATGATATCCTTCCGCCAAGCGCATGCCTCTACTCCCTCATCTGCCAGTAGTCTGGGTCTATCATTTGTTTACTCACACCACACGTAGTCTTTTGGATTTGCATTCTTTAGACCCATATCGCAATCTTTGAGAGCCCCTCGGGACTATTGTACTCAGGGCCAGAATAATCTGGGTTCTGTCGAAAGCCGCGCAGCATTATAGCTTAACTTTTCCAGTGTATCCGTAGGTATAGTGTCTGGTTTAACAAGTTCTTGCAAGGGGTGTCGTTGTATCATCTCCCGTCCAAAAACATGGACCTAGAAGTTTGTAACAGTCAAAAGCTGCCATTTGGCTGGTGTTGAGCTAATGTAAATTCTTGAGCTATATAGGTGATGCACATGAGACGAAAGCACTCATCAAAAGCTCCGCCCCCCTGCAAGGGTGGATTTTCTATGTTCCGTGGAAACACTTACTAAGACATTAGCTTACGTAAACCAACTGAACAGCTCCAAGGTTGCGACGACCTTGCTCAAAATGGCGAAAATAACCTATCATTTGAACTCGGTGAACCCCTTAAGTCTCCATGCAAGGCGAAATACCTTTTTTGTCTCTCATGGCCTCTTTAAAAATCTTCCAGTCCAATTCATATTCTGAGAGATCGCGTTTTCGACTATGTTGTGGCTAGTCTCTCTTGCCCGGCCAATATGGTCTTCACTTTGTTTTCTCTCTTCTACTCTGAACAGAATTCTTGTAGCGCTCCGTCTTCGTGTTACTCACGGAAAAGTCGGACATCTAGAAGCAACACCAGAAATTGTGAGCTTGACTTAACCCCAACTCGATACATGTCTGACCATGATGTTCCAGAATACGGTTGTGCGATCTCCCCAAAGACCGTATCCTGAAAATATCACTTACATATGCATTTCTCCGGAGGAAGCAACAGACCTTTCAACTTGTTCCAGTCAAGACAAAACTCAAAAACTGCGCCACGGAGAGGTCATATACATCTTGAAGGGCAAACTTTTAGCCTGGGGGGGAACCGCGGTTGTTGAACAACTACCCTCTGGCGCGGTCGTGAAGACACCAATTCCAAATCCCTATTGTCCACCTGAAGAGGAAGACCACCGCCGAAATATGCGCCTCGAGGCGCGAATTTATGCTATGATCGGTAAACATTCCCGTGTGCCGAAAATAATCAGCTGGGACCAAGAAACTTGCTGCCTTGAGATGGAGTTTCTTGAGAACGGAGATCTTAAAGAGTACATACTAGCGAATCAGCACAGTATAACGCTTCAACTTCGACTCAGGTGGAGTAGACAGGCTGCTGAAGCACTGGCTGTTCTTCATGCTCTCCAAGTTATACACTGCGACCTTTCACCAAGGAACTTCCTTCTCGATTGCGATCTCAACCTGAAGATTGCGGACTTTGGCGGCGCTTCTCTTTGCGGCAAAGATCCATCAGCTACCTCGGCAACAAGGTTTCGACGGCCCAGCTATGATTGGAATGACCCCCCGGTAGTTGGGGATGATATATTCAGTCTAGGGTCCCTTATTTACTTCATAATGACCGGTTCCTATCCATACGGGGACATCCCTAGTGATGAGGTTGAGAAGCTCTATAGGACCCAACAGTTTCCGGATGTTTCCTCAGTTACTTGTGGAACTGTCATCATGCAATGCTGGAGTCAACAGGTAGACTCTGCTCTAGCTGTACATGACACTATAGCAGATATTGCTGGAGTGCATTCAATATAACCAATTCAACCAGTCCAACCATACGCTCAGCTGGCCCAATAGATCACCAGTGTCATCGAGTATCATGTTCTGCAAAACCCTCGTCCCTATGATTTGGACACTCGCTTCGTGTGATCGTTTGACCAAGGTTCTCTTCTCTGGGGTCTCCGCAGATTTGTCCGGTTTCTCTGTAGGTGGGACATCCCGCAGTAACTAGGACGCGCCTTACTCTCCAGCAGGACGAAGGGCATTTGGAATAGCGAGTTGTAGTAACATGGATCTCGCACATCTTGGTTCTGTGTGTCAGGTCAGACTTTCTTAGGCCACAGATTTTGCTTGGAGTCTTACTGTTAATTCAGGGTAGTACCACAGTGTCAACTTGACATTTAATACAAATAACATTACCTAGACATAATAATATATTTATAGTCGCTTCTACCCCTCCCGAAATGAGTCCCTGTTAACGTCAGGAAGAAATGGTGACCCATATGATTAACAGACTAAAGCCAATGACAAGCTGACACCATTGCATTAGCCTCCAATCCATATTCGACCCCGCCACCTAGACCTTAACCAGTTTGTGTCAATGCGAGTAAGCCTAGGCACTTGAGCATTGGGTTTTGCTAGCCTGCAGAAAAACGAAAGATGCATAGGTCACGCGCGCATAGATCCTTTGGCTAGTGCGTTTAAAAATATCTGCGCGATCTTCACATACCACATTATTACTGGCTTGAATAACGAAAACTTACCCACCTGCGAGAATGACAATTTGATGCAAAGAGCTAGCTCCATTACCGTATAGAGAAGCCTTAGCTGCTGGAACAAGGCCTACACGTCATTCATGATTGATCGATCGATCGATTGATTGATTCCTTACTCCGTTTCGGCACCGGGGCTGGGCCATGCCGGAGGCTCCTAGTGAGCAGCGACTCTCTAATCGGTGGCCGTCTTTGCAGACTGGCACCGCCGGCCTCATGCCTGCCCAGGCCCGCCCTGCTTCCTAAGATAGCCGCCAACCCATTTGGACGCCGCAGATTCCCAAGCCTGCGAGGGTTTCGGGGGCGCTACTGCTGAATGGGGCCACACAGATGCGCAGTTAGCAACTGGCATCAACCCCAGGAAGATGGAGATACGCTTACCGTGGGGGTTACCTCCCTGGTGGGAACCACCGGAGGTGGTGATTGAGGAGACTAAGGAGCGGTCCATGCACGACATCCATTGTATCGCCTACCCGGACGCAATTCGCATTTACAACGCGGGTGGGCACCGCTGCACCTGGGAACAAACCTACTGCTCCGCCCCCCGTCAATCTGCCTCCAACATTACCTGGGCTCGGATCATGAGCAAACCGTGCCGGTGGTTGTAGTGCTACATGATATCTGGGCCGTGGCGCGGACCGAAATTTATTCTGATAATGAGGGCGCGGTGCGCCACGCTGCTGCCCCTAAGCAGGTATATCTGGTTTACGAGCTGCTGGAGCTGCTTTACCGCCTTGTAATGAACTCGCGGACAGCAAGGCGAAGGAAGTGGCAGGCTGGTGCCATGGCGTTAGGCAGTGAAGGCCCCTGGCGCCGGTCATGCTGCCAGACCACCCTGTACGCCGGCTGCTGGATGCCTGGATTCGGCAGCATACTAAAGAGCAATGGGAGGAAGTCTGGCGGCAGTCTGAGCATGGCACCTCCTGCGCTTCCTCCCCGAGCCAAGCGTTTGATCACCATCTACGATGACCTCATCCTGGTGGAGCGCAGCGCTTTGGTGCAGATGTGTACAGCGAAGATCAGGCTGAGCCACTATCTCACGACCATCGACCGGGCCGAGGACCTTTCCTGCCCGTGCGGACAGGCCCCGGAGACAATTCACCACGTGCTATTCGTCTGCTCCTGGTACGACGACCTTCAGCGCGCGAAATGGACGGAAGGGACACCCCAAAACCTGAGAGAGGCCCTGGAACAGTACGTTCGGGGGACCGCGGCTCATGCTACGACCCTGGGTCCTGCAGATGGTCCCTGATAAATACATTGCCAGCATCTCCCCGCAGATGGCTCTGAAAATGCCCATGACTGTGTCCAGCACCACCGGCGCGTTAGCCCCTTGAGATTGGGCATCTCCACGACCCTGTGTGCACCCACTATCATAGCTTGAGAGTGACCAGCAAAAATTCTTTGAGTGCGCTGGCGAGAAGCTGGACAAGTCGAGGCCGAGCAGCAGGTCCTGCGGGATAGCCATGCAGACGCACAGGTCTACAAAGCAGGGTCCACCTGGAGCTGGTCGCCTTGGACCTGGGGATTGATCACATTCCATATATAACTTAAGTACGGCTGAGCGGATGGGAAGCTCTGTTTTCCACACCGTATGGTCGTATGTGCTGGAAATAAGCAGCACTCAGATCATATAGGACGATGAGTGTGGACAGTTTGTGATGCACTCTAGGTGTATGCATTACTCCAGTGGGAAATATGCGATAATAGGGCCTCCAACGAGCGAGGTCAACATGTCATGTTTCTCCGCTAGAAAAAGCTATTCGTCTTTTCTCTTCCAGGTGACATTTTCATATGCGTTGAGCTGAACAACATTCCTGCACACCCCTACGCTTGAGAGTTCGAAAACAATGCTGTCATCCGGTTACTGATTTCGGTTCAATGAGCAGGCTGTATATTACGACAGGTAGCCTAACAGACGTGTTGAGATTCACAAGTTTTCAGGCCTTAATGATCCCGAGCGGATCGCCCGGTCCGAGTATCTCGTCGGCATCCGTCAAATGACGTCGGGAACTCACCTCCATTCGGAGCGGGCCCGAAGATACTCCTAGCTAAGCTGCCACTACCAGGACGACAGCGCATGGAAGTGATGACCTGGCTGGAAGATATCTAACGGTAATCAGCTATATTATGAGAGGTAATCACATTGAGGATTTGTGGATCAATCCAGTTATTTGTAGTTTGTACCCTCTCTGGATCCGTCCCTCGTCCACGTCAGCTGGGGAACTGTTCTAACAACCGTATCTCGCAAAGCTCTGTGTGACCGTCAACTGAAGGCATTTGAATATACGGATTAGAAGCCTCGTTTCTTGGAAAAGGGATGGATAATGTCCGCTGGGAATGAGTTTTTCCAGCACGATTTGACTGGAATTAACCGATTTGAGCTGAAGGCCGAGAATAAGACCTCGGGAAAGCCGAGGCACTGATTGGACTATACGGTAGAAGAGAGAAGAGTGCGGAATGGGAAATTATCCTGCGGGCAGGTCACGTGAAACACACGGTTAATTTCGGACTGCCGTGGTGACATCATCCCGATTTCGCCCCCTGATTTCTACCAGAGAATGATTATTATCGACGAAGAAAAGAATTTGGCGGGAGGATGATTAGACTAATGTACTGGGTATGTCTCCATGGCTAATCTGAGAGCTGCCACTGATGAGACGCTCCTTAGTCTTTTGGCAACCTAACAACCTAAGATGAGATTATATGTCATCGAAACATGACATCCCACGCTGGAAAGCTTTGGAACCCCTCAGTGGGGCATGGCGGGGGTTGGGGTTGCCAATTTGAGGACGATGATAGGATTCTTCTTGCTGACTACTCTGGCAATGGTTCCGAATTAGTAGTCTGCGAGAAGGCCACACGTCTTGTCGTAGGCAGCTGTCGTCAGGGTTCTCACCCTCCCCCGCCGGATCAACTCCGAGTGGCACTCCCAAAGCTGCCTTATTTGAATATTTCTATCCTCTTCTTCCTCTCTGATTCCATCCGTTTGTCTCTTCTTCTGTAATTGCGTCTCTTTGATACCCTCACTGCAAATTCCTACTCGTCCAGCCCACACTCCCATCACAATGTCTCTCGGAAAGAAGGTCACCCTCAACGCCGGTGCTCAGATCCCGTATGTTTGGCTTCTTCCTCGTCATTGGAACTGCCAAAGTCAATAACTGACCTTGAGCCAACAGCCAGCTGGGTTTCGGTACCTGGCAATCTGCCCCCGGTCAGGTCGGTGAGGCTGTCTACCACGCCCTGAAGGCTGGTTACCGTCACCTGGTACGTCCATAACTCCTATAGTACACTCTCCGAAGTATAATCCACTAATTTGATACAGGATCTCGCGACTATGTAGGTTCTACAGTAATCCCGAATCCGTCTATAGTATACACTGACAACCGAAGCTACCAAAACCAGCGCGAAGTCGCTCAGGGTATCAAGAGAGCCTTCCAGGACATCCCCGGCCTCAAGCGTGAGGACCTCTTCATCGTACGTTCAGCTCAATCACCGCAATCGCCTTGACGCCATTCTAACAATTGCAGACATCCAAGCTATGGAACAGCCAGCACCATCCCGACGTTGTCGAGAAGGCTCTCGATGACTGCCTTGCTGAGCTCGAACTCGACTATCTAGATTTATATTTGGTCCACTTCCCTCTGGCCTTTTCCACCGGCGACGAGTACTTTCCTCTCGTCAAGGACAGCCCTATCCCCGAGGGCGATGTCGAAATCGATGACAGCATTTCCATTGTTGATACTTGGAAGGCTATGATCAAGCTCCCCAAGAGCAAGGCCCGCGCCGTTGGTGTTTCTAACCACACAGTTGAGCATGTAAGAGACCCGCACCAGAATTGAGAGACAGATAACTCACACCCTACAGCTCGAGGCCATCATCAAGGCCACTGGTGTTGTTCCCGCTGCCAACCAGATCGAGCGTCACCCTCGTCTGCAGAGCAACGAGCTGATTGCCTACTGCAAGGAGAAGGGCATCCATGTCACTGCCTACTCGGTATGTCACCTTTGCCTGCCACTTCAACAGCTTGCTGATTTCTGTAGGCCTTTGGTAACAACATGCTCGGTCTCCCTCTCCTGATCGACAGCGACGAGGTCAAGGCGGTTGCCGCCGACGCCTCCAAGAGACTCGGCCAGGAAGTCTCCCCCGCTCAGGTCATCCTCGCCTGGTCCCAGGTCGGTGGCCACAGTGTGATTCCCAAGTCTATCACGCCTTCACGTATCGTCGCCAATTTCCAGGAGATTGAGCTTACTCCAGAGGAAGTCGAGAGGGTGTCTGCTCTCGGCAAGCAGCCCCGCCGCTTCAACATCCCCTACGTTGCCAACAAGCCTCGCTGGGACATCAACATCTTCGGCGAGGAGGAAGAGAAGCCCGCCACCCACAAGGTTATTATGTAAAAGTCATGCCTGATGATTGATGTATATAGAGCGGTAAACACCTACTATCTATTTCTCTTTCTTATTATCTATAACAGTCTTAACCTGTAATAGTTAGTATGTAGTACCTTGAACGCATTAAGGTACTTAGTTATTTAGAGAGAGCAGGTGTCTCCTTAGGAGTAGTCTAGTTTATCTCAGTAACTGTATTCTCAGGGACAGTATAAGCCCCTGTAACTGGCTATGTATCTTTTATACTCTTGCGAAGTAGGTCTGGTCAGTTGCAGTGAGATAATCAAGTGCTAATAATATGTACTATAACAACCTCGTCGTACAAGAGGGTGACGGCAGAAACCTCAGGACAGTCTACTGCTACATGACCCCTCTCACCACAAGTCCAACAGGTGAGAGTGCAGCGTGGCATGACGACAAGGAGAAGCTAAAGACGTTTGAGGTAAGGAGGGTAGCCAACCCTGTGAGTGCTGGAAGGGGCGTATGTTCTTTAAGTATGCCTTGGTAAGCGACAAATGACTCCGATTGTGGAAGTCTGTGAGGAGGCAATACCCAACATAGTTCTTCTTGCCATGCCGGACTTCTAGCCTTCTGTCTTAGAATCTCATTCTATTAGACTACTATGTTCTGATGCCTCATCTTACAGCCAGCAGTGTCTGGGGCCTCGGGCTCCGCACTGTTGCAAAGGAGAAAGTGAACCATATCTGGTCAACCTCTCTGCGCTGCCAGGTGGAGAGGAGTACTGCCATATACACTCATTCTTGCATGGATATCAGCACCTGCTTCTAGCAGAGCCTCCACCCTACTAGGCATACCTGAGAGAACAGCACAGTGGATTGGATAGACAAGTTCCAGAGGCAGCTCATCTGCTGCTGCATCAAAAAGCAGCCTATTTTCCTACTGAATAACAAGCGCCACACATTAGCAGGCAAGTTGACATCCATGCCATATTCAATCAGGTCGCGGACCAGAGTGGCATTGTCTTGCCACTCACTGGTTTTGTTTCGTGTGGCCTCCGTGTTTTGATCTGATCATCGGTCGACACCGTGCTCGAGCAGGGACCGAGCTATTGCAGTTTGGCCGGCATAGGCAGCATAGTGTAATGGCGTCCAGCCATGGCTCCCAGACATGTTCACTATAAAGTAGTGATCATTCAGAATCCACCATACGGTATCTACATGACCAGCTTCTGCTGCGTGATGGATAATACAACCATTACTCTTGCTCCAGGCATTGAGATCCACACCAGCTTGTACCGGCGCCTGCACTATAGCCAGAGAACTATGGTACACTGCTTTGTACAGCACAGTTTCCCCGTACCTGTTGCAGAACTCTAGGCTGGGCCCATCAGGGCAGACTCCACTATCCAAAAGCAGGACAACTTCTGCGATGTCATTGCGCTGGGTGGCTTCCACTAGGACGCATTCTTCCTCTGGTCCAACGCGTGACATTGTAGGTGAGTTCAGTGGCATAATGCATGTATCCAGTCCGCCGGGAAGCAGGGCAGGGAAGTGTGGGGACGACAACTGTGGGAGTATTGATTGACTTTGTTATACTCACAGCATCTCTTATGAAAAATAGTACCTAATATCTTAATAAATGGCAGAATGTGGTACACACTCGGAACCTGAATCGCCCTTTAACTTCAGAAAGCGCACCAAATAATAAACTTCCAGACGAGAGCAACAGAGATTGCAAAGCAAGCAATTTTGAAGGGAGATCTCCCATGGTCTCCCTTGCCACCGGGAGAGCTGAGTGGAGAGGTCCGCAAACCAACACTGGATGAGCTGAAATTTCTGTTTGATTTTGAGTATTTGGTTGAGTGCCTTGAATGGCTTGCCAAGGACAATCACCACCTGGCATGATCGCATTGAAAGTCTCGAGCCAGAAGATACAATCCAAGCATGCATTGTGTGGAAGGAGAGCTTGCATGCCGCGTTGTATCGAGGCTTTCTTTCAGGCGTTGATACCAGCAGCATGAGAAGGAGAAATGGGTGGTATTGCACTTCCATCCGCAGTTTGAGTGCCCCCTAAGTCAAGTCAGGAGCAGGCAAAGCGTAGCACAAGTCCAAAATGCTCACACGCGGGATGCTACGGCAAGCTATTGCCCTTCTTTCTCTTTTCATTACTTTTGAATGAGACCTCTGTCTCCCCTGAAGCCCCTTCACACTGGGAATTCGCCCCAGCTCTCCAAAATCCATTGCACACATATACCACTTCCATATGTGAGGAAATCTCGCAAGGCCTTGGCACATCGGCGCTTGCTCAACTCGCTTTTCCTTCTTCGTTGTCGGCTTCTCCTTGAGGTTACTGAATAACATTAACTCCTGTGCAATTATACCGTTGTAGTCATTCCCATCCGGAATTATTGCAAGGCCGAAGCCAACGTCACTTAAGTCGTCTTCCGTAACAGTAGAAGAGCCCGTAGTGGTGGATAGTGTGTTATTGCAGAAGGCGTAGTTGGAATTGTATGTGAGCAGACGCGGATGCAGCAGTAGGAGTATATGTGGAAGCAGTCATAGAAGGCGACTGAGAGACCCGCAAGCAGTCATTGCGCGATCAGTGTCAGTGTGATAAGTCAGTGTATCCCGGACAATTGGCAGCGATGTCTCCACGACGATCATGGCATTTTCTTGCAAGGAATTTGCATAAAGAATGTAAAATAGACGGCTTGCCATCCTGGAGCACAGAATTCGGTCCGGATGAGCCTTTCCGAGATCCACAACGACAATATGAAGAACAATTGTGCGTGTTATTCGTGGCATTGCGTGTTGTCGACTTTGTATGGGTGGAGGTGTGTTTAGGGCGGTTTGCGGCTATGATTATGTCTGCAACTCAAAAGCAGATCAAGTCAAAATAGCTGAAATGCAGACAGGAAAGTTGACTTACATGGACACAGTAGAATAGCATCGATTGAGGCAGAACAGCGTGGTCGAGGCATTGTAGCTGGAAGAAGGAGGGTAAAGCTGAGGCAAACCGCCTGGGAGGGACTGATCGCTATAGACTAACTTATCTAATAAGATAGCCTTTGTGCCTCAGATAGCCTTTCATTTTTCGACTCAATGGTCCCGGCCATCATCCTTTTGATATGGATGAGGAATAGCCGAAATCATCAATCAGTGACACCAGCAGTGAGCATACTGAAGATCCTGTGATTCCTATCCGGATTCCCACGTCTTTGGATTCATTGCCTGGAAACATCCATTCGAGAGGACCACTCCCACATCACCTGGGCTGCTTTGGATTGGCACACGCATATTGTCCGCCGATCGCTTTTTCTCTGCTTCTTGAGAAATGCATCATACAGGCTCCATAGTGTGTAGTATTTTGTAAGACCAGAAGGGCAATTACCCTCATCACATTCATCATGAAGCTACGGACGTTCCCCAAGATGTACAATGTCTATTTCACCACCATGATTGCGACTGAGACTACATTCCTACTTGCTTATGGTAATTTTAAGAGTAATGTCATTCATTAAAACATAGAAGACTGGCTTGGACTAGACTAGACTAGAGTACATCAGGTTTCCTTTATTTCAGTGTTATTCTGATTGTCCTTCGCAGTATGAATCTACTATAGTTAGTATATAGTAACCGTAGAGTCTTGGTATGAGACACTTACCTCTTGAGTGGGAGCAGGAGCCTCCTCGGGAGGAGGTTGGGAGGTATCAGGGACAGTCTGGTTGGTCTCGGGCACAGCAACTGTGTTGTTCTCAGGCGCAGCAACTGTGGTGGTCGCGGTGGCCGCGACGACATGATGGTGCTAAAACATGTCAGTCAACTCAGTTTCATCCTTCATCCAAACAGAGTTATAAACTTACGTGTCCCACCCCACCACCACCACGACCGCCGCGGCCACGAGGGGAACGTCTTCCAAAACCTCTCTGAGTATGCCTTCGTAAGCGACAAATGAAATGCTCTAGTTCAGTCATACATACAGTTGCTATGGCTTGGTACAGAAAGCGGACGTAAAGAACTTCAGGGCAATTCCAGGCAATATGACCACGTTCGCGGCAAATGTAGCAAGTCAGTGTGCATTGAGGAGATATGATAATGAGAGCGAAGGATAATAGTCTTTCCAGTGAGAGTCTTGACAGAAATTTGCATACCACCACGCAGATGAAGGATGAGGTGCTGGAGAAAGAATCTATGATTTAGGGAGGAACGGTGTTTTTATACATTCTTACTTGGATTACCTCACTCATTGAATACTTAATCTGGGGATTATGGTTGGCGTCATGCTGCTGGTAAACCTGATTTGGTCTAGACCAGTAGGTTGACAAAATTGCAGTTGGCGACATTACATCTGAGAGATGGCTCTACTATTCATCCTGCTGTCCATGCATAAACCCTTTCCATCTGATTACAAAATTAGTACCATTTGAGAGCTCTCTTTCTGCTGGTTTTAATGATACTAAAAACACTATAGATATATTATGTTGGTGATACTTAAACTAGGGGAAACCATTTATTTTTACATTACTATTATTGTATATCCTTGGAGATTTAATCTATCAGTGGGTCCTGGATGCTTAGCATCTGTTGAACTGTCAGGGACCATAAGGGCTAACAAGCTTTCCGTTGGGCGACCTTTGTGGGTCTCATTCGTGCATGGTTCGCCCCTGAGTTCTGCGATGATAAGCTTTAGCTTCTATGTGTTTGTTTGCTACTCTGAGGTTACCAGTGTATGCTATCTACTTAGTGAACACCTCAGTATATATTAGAAAATGTAGAAAGTAGGTTTAATTATCCTTGAAGAGATCTCTTTATACAAAATGTCATACTATACTTCTGTAGGATCAGGATACTCTACAATACATACTTCCAACCAGGCCAATTTTGTATACCGTGACTCAAACTTGAGGTTAAGCAAGGGATAGGATAATAGGTATTGGGGATGCTAAGGATCCACTTCCAATATGCTCTTATAAAAAGAAGTCATCTGATTGGATCAACTGCTGTCGCGACGTCAGCTATCTACCTGACTACCTAGCCAGAGTCAGACAACTTGGCATTGACCTTGGCAAACAATAACTAAAACAACAATTGGTGCGGAGTCTAGCTCAGTCAACTTTCGATACCTTAATTTCCAAGCTAGGCTCTCGAAAGATGACTGGGCGAAGGAGGGTGGCGAATATCGTCGGCTCCGTCATTTGACCGATACCTACTGAGGGAATTAGAGCACGTATCCACACCGCAGAAGGTAACTGGCTCAGAGCATAGCTGAGCCCATTTCCAAGCTTCTCGCAAGATAACAGCGCTGAGGAGGGTGGCAATTTTCTCATCTCTATCACAAGGTTATCAACATAATCAGCTGTTACAGCTCAAGTTCGTTGGACCCAATGTATCCAGACTTTGGCTGGCTGAGCCCGCATGTTGAGAGAGATATTTCTTATTAGTCGTAGACATATTTTGGACTAGAACTCCAATCCTGAGTCAACGGACCGGCCCTCAAAAAACTGACAAGGGTGCAGATATGAACCTGGAATCTCTTTCCAAGCCGTCGCTTTGGTGTCGGTGCTGGAGCCTTATGTGTTAACCTATATGAGTTCACTGAGGTAATCACTTTCTAATAATAAATGCATTATACTTGCTAATAGCTTTAATAATTCCTTAGATACACCTTATTCTTAAACTATACAAAAAGCTTAGTAACTCTGCTATAAGCCTTCAGAGCCTGGCTGCCGCGGAGCTTGGGTATTGGACCTTTAGACTGCTAGTTTTCAGATTTAAGCTGGCATCCAGTCACATTAGAAATATATTGCTATATCCATCTAGTTTTCCATGCTTCAGCAATTCTATTACCTAGTTGCTGATCCCTTCTCCACATGATTATCTTAATGATTTAAATAAGATGACCTATAATACAAAAGCACACTTGCTAATTAGCTCACCTCGCAGTCCATTCAGATAAACTGAAGGAGACATTGTGAGATACTGATACTCAGATTTTGTCTTGGAAACATTTGTACAGAATACATTTAGACTATGCTTTCAGCTCTAATGTAGATGTATTTCAATAGCAGCGTGAGTACCATGCTTGATCAGATGAAAATACACTAATAGGATGTGCATTTCAATACTTCCGTCTTCTTTTCTTAGATTCGAACCATAGTATGCTTTCCTCAATATGTAAAAGTCATGCCTGATGATTGATGTATATATGTTCTTTTGGGGGGATATAGAGCGGTACTTAAAAATGATATCCCATGACATGACTGCCCTGTAAATGAAAGCACATTGCACGAGAGAACTATTGAATAGCCACCGGCTTCTACCTGTGCTTGTAGCTGGACAATCACGCCCATCAGTTCCTGAAGATGACTGAGACGCTCCAATCATTGAAAGAAATTTGCTGCTATTTGCCTCTCTGTATCAACTTGGTGACACTTTAAAGACTACATTCTGGAATATCATTTAATATATGTCAACATTCAATTAATGGTCTGTCCCACACCCTAGAGACCGGGACATGCCACCTCTCTCATTTATATCGCATTACATCCATTTCAGACATCTGGATGCTATACAATCCAGGTAAGCTACGGCTGGCTCATGAACAAGTCCAACATCGCCGGATAATTCGGAGTTCCCAACCCCGTCACCGGATCCCATCCCTTCGCAGCCGAGAACCCCTGCGTGCCACAGCCCGGGTTACTCCCCTGCGTGATATCATTGAACACCTCCGGATGCGCATACAGCACAGGGTTCACAAATCCCACCGTCGACTTGCCGACCGCAAGCCGCTCCTCGTTGATCCTAGTCAGAATCGCCGCAAACACCGGCGCAGCGGCAGAGGTGCCGCCAATACGCGTGGGCAAGCCCTTGTTGAAGATGACGACGTTGTCCCCGATGGCCGCGACGTCCGGGTACGCGCGTCCAATCCGGTTATAGATGCCGCCGTTCTCCGCGAAGCTGCTGTTGTCCACGCTCTCGTAGAACGGGTACCCGGGATCTGCGCGGGAGAAGTAGTCCTCGACCGCTTGCTGCTGGTAGTCTGCGCGCTGGTAGATGTTGCTGAAGCCGCCGCCGGAGGGGAACGAGGTCACGGCGACTTCTTCGTCCTTGCGGGGGTCCGCGCCGAGGGGGAGGTAGGTCCCGCCTACGGCGGTGAGGTAGGGACAGGTGGCTGGGAAGTCCGGGGCGAAGACTTTACCGTCCGAGAGACAGTTACTGGGAGTGGGATCTCCGCCCCGGCCTTCGACGCCAGAGTCGCCGGATGCGACGACCACGGAGACGCCCTGCAGACCGAGTTTCATCCACTCGTTGCACTGGCGGCGCTGGTAGGCGATGGGGAGGTCGGCCTCGGCACCGCCGTATGAGATGGAGAGGACCTTGGGGGGTTGGTAGACGCCGCACTGGAGTTGGCCTTTGTAGCCGCCGTCGGCGGGATTGGGGTACGACGGGTCTAGAGGGGAGATCTCGTTGCAGTAGGATCCGTCAATAGCATCGAGAAACGTGTTGAGAAAGCCACTAAAGTTGTAATTCGCCTGATAAAAAGTATCATCCGTCTGAAAGAGGATGGAGTTCTGCGGCCAGATGATCGGGTACGAGATTTGAAAGTCCAAGTCGGATTCGGGGCCGGCGTTGGACACGCTGGCTGGGGCTTGAGCGCCGTCGACGGCCTTCAGGATGGGGTGAGTGCCCTGAGGTATTTGCCTAGACGAGTCAGCGACGAAAGGACACAGCAGGGACAAACATACTGTGCGAAAGTTTCAAAAAACAGGTCGAGATCCTCTTGGCTATAGACATCCCCTAGATCCTCAAAAATGCCCAATTCATTGCCCTTGGTGGCCTTTGTGCCGTCGGTGATATTATATAGAGCTGAAACACAAGCAGGTGTTACTGCGAGATCACATAGGGCCAATTTATCGCTACCAAGCAGCTCGGACAACGGCAGTAGCAGCGGCTCAAGAATTGGTGGCAGCGGGTTTCCCAATGAACGCTTTTCAGTGCTCCTAGCTCTCTTGACTCCTTCCACCTCTAGTAACTTGATGCCAGGTGTGATGTAGTCGATATGCCGTTGCACTGACTGGGGGACATGGTACCTGCATGATTAGCATGCTTATAACTCAGAGAGAAGGCCAACACGTACTCCCGGCAAGCAATGTGCGACTTTCCGGTGCTTTTATGTCCATACAGAAAAAACTCGCTCCGGAGTAACCTCTCAGCTTCCGCTGCGGAGGCATCAAACTGTAGCCACTGATAATTCGCGGCCTGCGAGATGCGGTCGGCGGATATGCCCTCAGACTCAAGCCATGCCCGAACATGATCGACGGTTTCCTGGCTCGGAGCAAAGAGATCGTGAACCTCTTCGACGGAGAAATGTTGTCCATAGCGAGACGAGCGGGGATCGGATCTACCTCTCGTCAACGGCGAACACCAGAGTTTAGTCAAATCACATACACCTGCATCAACAACTCATGGCCACGATCTAGGTTCGACTGTGTGAGACCAATCCTCATAGGCAGCGTAGTGGCCTTGTCCAGCCTCTTCTCCTCCGTCCAGGAGCGAGGTAGGACAGCACGGCGTTCATGCACGACATAGTCGTTCGGGGTGGGACTAGCAAGCACGCCAGCCGCAGCTGCAGCTCCCAGAAGTACGTGTGAGAATCGCATTATTTGAGCGCAAGGCCAGCTTGTGTGTACCCAGCAAGACGACCTGGGAGACCGCTTTATATAATCTCCAGAGCCCATCTCTCCTGATCGACAACCCCCGCACGACTCGCATGTCATGCCCATCACGGATTAGACGCTGATGTTGCCTATCATGATGGAACGTTGCAGTGGGGCATAGCGCTGGCACAGAACGGAGCTAACAGAAGCCAGCACATGCTAAGATTGAGGATCAGCTTCCTTTGTCATATCGATCTGCATCAACCAGGGATTGTGTCCTACCTCCAACCCGTTCATGGCGTTGTACCGCAGCGGGGAAGGAAGGCTAGCTGAAGCTTATTACACCCCGTCCTTCAAATATCCGAGACAGCAAGCAAGACTATAATCGAAGATGCAGTCAGTTACCAGCGCAGCTGCTTCCGTGCCTCGGAGACTTGCCCAAATACTCATGTGAAGAACCCACAACCACGATCTTCATATCTTCAACGAGTTAGAAGACAGGCGATCAGGTTCACCTCTTGCGCACAGACACGAGGCAGGACGCTCTGGTTTGAAAGAAAGTTGTCCGACTTGAATGGGATATGCGGCATTGACCGTCTTCTAAATAGCCTCGGTATACAGCGGCCGCGAAGATAAGCCATGAAGAAGCACGCGCGAAGCGTAAACAAGTTCTCGCCGAGCAACCCAACGCTCCAATTGATGCTGTAGTTCAGGAGGTTCTAACTTCTCGGGTTGAACTAAAGCTCAACCCCACCGCCGATCTAGTCCGCATCCGGGGGCAAATAGGTAAAGATCGACTTGATAATCAGTGACGGTCGAAGCACTACAAGGACGGGCGCTCTGATTTGAGGGAGCAGTGTGTTGGGATGGGATAGGATTGGGGTTTAATGGGGTGCTGCACAGTCGTGTGACACTCGACGAAATACCATAAAAGTCTGGAAAGGTACACTGAGTGGATTAAATGTGGAACAATATTCATCAATTCATGTCACCATTAAATCCATCAATTCGTGCTACATGAATAAAGCCAACTTGTGTAGCGGCTTGATAGACAACGACTCACAGTATCGTGCCAGATGCTATAGAACAATTGCTCGCCAGCCGTACATCCCTGTCTTAAGGATATACTCTCGTTCCATATGTCTCTCTGACTGTTAGTCAGCCGGACAACCCGACAGTCCGACAATTGAATCCATCTCCGAGACGATCCGCCTCATTATGATGAGGGAATGATCAATGGCGAGCCTGTGATCAAAGAGGCAAATAACGAAAGAGTAGAGTGGTCAACGTATGAGGACGTGAAAACCCCGTAGAGGGGCTGATATCCATGTGATGACCCAGAGCCATTACTTTGTGGCGATTGATGAGGCTATGGCGGATGCATTAGCCGAATAGGTCGAAAGCTGACCGAATCTAGGACCTCGCATGGTATGAGCAAGACCCTGCTCACTTGAAAAGAGAGCTAGCGTAAATTGGGCCGATAGGATGGGGCAGCCGATCCCACTCTAAGTTATAAAAGGACACTCAGATCTTGTCCTAATGGGGAAACCACCGGCCAGCGAGGCCAGAGTAATAGCTGCTCACGAACCGAGCCACTTCCACAACAACTGCACAAGCCGCTTGCGATGAACCGGTTTGGCGACGTAATCGTTCATGCCCCTGGCAAGGTACGTCTCCGCGTCTCCCTTGAGCGCATTCCCGGTGAGTGCTATGATCGGCACCTCGCTGTTCACTTCACGAATCTTGGTCGTTGCCTCGAGTCCATTCATAACCGGCATGTTGATGTCCATGAGAATTGCATTGTAGGAGAGAGGTGTTTGCTTCACCTGTCGGACTGCGTCCGCGCCGTCCCAGGCCGTGTCAACACGTTCGAAACCGAGGCTTTTGAGGAGCTTCAGCATGACGATCTGGTTCACCATATTATCTTCCACCAGCAATATGTGCATGTGGGGAGCAATCCGCCTGACCTCGTCTATGGGTTCGTATGTATTTTCGGCGGTAGCAGGGGCGGCGTCCTTATTATGCGCTGGAACGTCGACACCCGACATGCGAGCGGTCAAAAAAAAGCAGCTACCCGTTCCTTCTGGGTTGGGTTTATAACCAACACTGCCATCCATCAGCTCTGCCAAGCTCTTGCAGATGGACAAGCCAAGTCCGGTACCCTGATAGCGCTTGGTGGCCGAATCCGCAAACCGCGTAAACGGGGTAAAAAGGGTGTTTATGGCATCTTCGGGCACTCCGATCCCAGTATCAGTGACTTCTGTAGTGATTATGTAGACATTGGAATCGTGCTCGTCTACTGCGAAGCTATGGGTGACCTTGACTTGTCCTTTCTCGGTAAACTTCATCGCATTTCCCACGAGGTTCTGAATCACTTGCCGATACCGAAGCGGATCGCCCCGGAGCAGTTTTGGGAAGCCCGGGGGCATGACGCAGGTGATCTCCACAGCAGGGTTCAAGGCCTTGCAATTCCGTACCACTGCTCCCACGATATTCTCGACGCTCAGGATATCCGTGTTCAGAGAGAAGGTGCCGGAGGATAATTTGGAATAATCAAGGACGTCGTTGATTACTTGAAGCAAAATCGACATGGAATCCTCGATAATGGAAGTGTATTCACGTTGCTGAGCGTCGAGCTCCGTGCTCCCCAACATGGTCAACGCCAGGTGCATTCCATTCATGGGAGTCCGAATCTCATGACTCATATTGGCCAGGAAGTCGCTCTTCATCTTGGATGATTCCTCAAAGGCTGCGACCATCCGGGCTTCAGCCGCTTTGCGCTCGGTCAAGTCGCGCGTGACTTTGACGAAACCAACGTGCCGACCGAATGAGAAGATGGGTGTAATCATTACGTTGGCCCAAAACCGTGAACCATCCTGACGATACCGCCAGCCTTCATCCTCGACTCTTCCCTCCCGTAGGCACAATTCGAGCTCCTTGCCAGGCTTGTCCGCCAGTCGATCCTCGGGTCCGTAGAAGATCGAGAAATGCCGACCGATGATCTCATTCGCCTTATATCCCTTGATAATCGCGGCGCCCGAATTCCATGTGGCAATGTTGCCCCGCGAGTCCAGCATGAAGATAGCATAATCTCGGACCGTGTCAACCAGGATCTTGTAAGTCTCATTGATGTAGGCATTATGTAGCGACTCGTTATGCGTCCTCGTGACGTTGTGTGCTTCCAAGACCAGGTTCAGCAGGGTATCTCCCTGGAAGATGGGAGCGATTTTCAGTGAAAAATAAGAGCTGATTCTGGGAAGGTGGATAGTTTCGATAACCTGGACAGCCCGGGTCGTAATCGCCACGTGCAAAGCACCGTTCAAAGTCGGAATGTCTGGCGCAGGTATCGTGGCGAGTGGAAGATCGTAGACGGAGGCTCCTAGGATGAAGTCTCGAGACTTCCTGCAGAAAGCAAGGTGGCTCTCCGACACTTCCACCACGCGCAAGGACGAGTCGAGGACGATGGTCGGTACAGGAGTGTAGCGGAAAATTCGACTCAGCGAGGAAGTGTCGTCCTGTGCGACCTCTCCGTGGGCGTCACGCGGAGTGTCACACTGTGGAGATTGCGGCGGTTTAGCTGCATCCTTATCAGTGCGCTGGAGATTGAGCTGCTCTTCATCAGGAGGAGTAGCGACCGTGGAGAGCTTGTAGGGTCGCTGTTCGCCATCCCCGAGATGAAGGTGAAGGAGCTTCTTGTCGAGTGCCATTTCGGCTAGCTGAAATTCCCCCCGCAACTAGGCTAGCGAGGTAACAGCAGAAATAAAGCTAACAGAGAACTCGCTACTGCAGAACACGCATGAGGAGAGTGTTGTTTTTCAGTTTCCCAATTCTGCGCTGTGGCTCTACCTTTTGCCTCCTTCCCCTGTGGCGCAACCGAGGGGGTTCCGAAACAGGATCGAGAACCGGCCGAGCGGACGAAGGTGAGAATTGAAAGCAGGAATTTGGACCAGTCCACTCACCCAGAAGACGGCAGATGATGGTCAGCAGATGGTTGTCAACAGATGCACGTGGAATGTGGAAAGAGATGAATGAGAAAGAGGTAGAGTGGAAATCCACAGTGACTGCCCCTCGTAAAACTAATCAAGTAGTTTTGGTACCTAGTATCCTTAACAGAGCAACTTAGTCAGTTCTGAAAGTCAAGAGGCAAATAATAATACTGATAATGATTGACCCGTGTTTAGTGTGGGTTTGGAATTGGTCAAGGTCATTCCACAGGAACCAGTTTCAGGCCTGCAGGCCAACAGGCCCATAAGTATAATATTATTACATTTACCAGTCGCATAGAGTATAGACTACCACCACCCACGTCATCGCAGGCAGCGAACTGGGAGAAGAGTTCTTACATATCTACCTACGCTTGCACCATTTCTGTCAACTGCCGACACCAAGTGACTGGCTGGAAGGAAGTTCCAGCCGGCTGCGCGGGGTCGCCGGGGGAGGCTAATGTTCCAGATTCGCCCAGAAATGAACGAAAAACAGGTTCCTGTGCCGCTATTCCAGAGTTAATGCTAGGGATCCACAATACCATGATGGGAAAGAGTCTGAAAAGAGTCAAAACAGAAATACTCTTCGCCCCCTACACCCATGGAGAGGCAAACAATTTCTAGATCTCTAGCACTACTGGTTAATTTCCTGTGTCCCCTGAACGTTTGATGCGATTACATCTGGATCATCTAGTCGACTCAAGTCCCGAAACCAGGGAACATCCAAAAAAATCTACCCATGACCATTCCACTAAACCCAATCAAGCAGTCTAGCCGCACATGAACTCGTTGGGTTCGACTACCGGACCCAATAATAATTATTATTAGGTGCTTTTTTCCTTCCCATAGTCCAACAGGCATTTCTCAGTACACTTCAAAAAAGCGGCGATATCACCCCAGCGATCACCGGGAAGCTGACACGCTGATACGGATGGCTCAGCCGATCAAGAGGGCTGACGACATGACGACATATTCTGTGTGACATTCCTTCCATACTGGACTCGGCCGAGACCTTAGAGATGATATGCACACCTGATCTCCCTGAGAACACTCCTGGTCGCCTCGAACTTTTGGTAATTTATACGGGTAGTAACTGTAAGAGAAGTAGAATATGGTCCGTGTATCTGGTTCCGCGCGCCTGGCTACTGGGTGGCTGAGTGCGTGATGGGGTGGATCCAGACTCCTGAAAGGAACATGCCAAAAGCTTGGAAGCGCTGGTTCGAGACGAGTCTGTTCGAATTGGAGTAAATTTCGTTGTTTGAGCCTGAAAAGGTGTCAGGGATCTACAATCGGGAGGACCCGCTGACGCCGAAGATTCGCGAAGAATCGCATCGACAAGGTCAGACCTAACGTGGTCAGCAGGGGTCGAACTGTATCGAACTTAGGTGAAAGCTTAAGTCGCTTGGAAGTCTGGGAGTTCATATCAGTAATCTTACTATCTTAGCCGACCTTTCATTATCGCCGTGCTGTGTGAACACGGCAACAGGATCTAGAATGGTGGGATGGAGAAATTCGGCACACTTTGTAGACTTGCACCCATAGTCGGAGCAATACTAACTACAACCTTATATTGCTCTTTGATTCTTCCTAAAGTGGTGCTCAACGATAACATAGAGATGTTATAGGATCACATTTTCCCTCTCACACTTCTCCAGCATTGTCAACAGCGCTTCCGCTATACCATACGAAAACGCATAGCCGCCTCCTCCGAATCCATAAGCTGATAAGATTGTCCGCTGTCCCAATTGCTCCGAATCCAAGCGAAATCCACCCTGCCGTGACGGTCGGATTCCGATAATATAGCTCAATGACTCTTCGGGGGGATCCGCAGGAACAATCTCTGGGGCGAGACGGTGAGCGCGCGCGATCTCGTCTCGAGCAACGTCCATATCAACCTCTGGAGACCTATATATCGTTAGCTTCCTTCAGAGCTGCATGCACAGGAACGTCACTGACAGGTTATTCGGCTGCTTAACTCCCCCTAACACTACCCCCTCGGATAAAGGACGGGGGATGATATAGGTATACTCTTTCCCATTGCGAAAGTACATTTGTCGGCACTTGTCGGTACGGTAAAAGACATTCTGGCCTCGCTCAGGAAAGCATTTATCATCCTGAACGTCGGTGAGGGTTTTGCTTCCGAGCCCGCTGGCGTTGATGAAGACATTTGACTCGGGGAACATGGCGTATAGTTCCTGGAGGGACTCGACCCGCTTTCGAATGAACTGGCCACCAAGAGCGGTTATCTGCTTTCGAAGATAGGGCATGTGACGTGTCGGATCCGTTACCAATGTTTGGTATGACCACCCGCAGTCGAAGTTAGGAGGGTATTCGCCGGGCTCAAGTTCGCGAAACTACCTCCGTCAGTATGCCGATACACAATGAGCGGGACCGTTCCATTGCCTACGTTTGAGACCACAGTCTTACCCCAGATTGAGGAGTTCTCGGATGGCGCTTCTTCGAGATATTCGCGCGCATCCACAAGGCAAACTCCCGATTCGGGGCTTTCTTGCGCCATCCTGAACAGATGACGATGCGTAACAGCTTGAAGATATCGATCTTCAGGGCTGATACCGCCAGCAGCATGCCATGTTGCTCCAGCCCAGGCTGATGCGTAGAAAATATTCTGGTCACCCGGCAGGAACTCGGCAACAACCACGACGCGAAAGCCATTCAAGAGGAGCTGTCTTGCTGTAGCGCATCCGATAATTCCTGCGCCTAGAATGATGATCGGACGTTGTGAGAAGGGTACAGGAGACGTGTGGAGACTTTGATCGCACTCCCCCATTTTGTGCGCGAAATATTTCTCGCTGATACTTCCGTAGAGGTTTGAGACTCGATTGTTTGTCACAGGAAATGGGGCAGTTCCCAAATATCAATAAGCTGGATCCTCGGAGGAAAAGGATGAGGGTACAAGAAAGCTGCCTGAAGGGAGAAGATCTTGGTCAGTGCGGCCAGGACCTGGTGTATCTGGGAATGAACCTTTAACACAAACCATGCCCCGTCACCGTTCAAATGCATGGCAGCTCATTTCCTTATATCCGCCAGCCACGACTCTCTTAGCAGAAATGGCTCCTGACATCTGCGTTGGAATCGGAGAGCGCTCAGATCCGACTGTCGGCTCTACCCGCTGGTAGAAGACGATCAGTGTTATCAGTACATTGGACTAGAGATAGACTAGAGATAGACTAATCTGCAGCCAAAGCATTGCAAGGCACGTCAACTCACCTGAGGTTTAATGATCCGACCAATATGGAAGAAACTAGCGGCCCATACCGACAGGCCGGTGGATGTTTCTCCCTGAAGACTGCGTTTATCTGAAGACTTTGGCTAAGAATAGGAGCCAATAGTTTGAGATCTACGAAGGATGGCACGGTTCCTTCTGACTCTGCGAGTCATACTGCATATAATGCTGTCTTGCGGGTGGAGGAGTTTTACCGAAACTACTCCGTGTGAAAGCAGAGTAGTTTCACCATTTTGACGGGCCAGTCCAATGATTGATCTGATTTTTCCCAATAAATATATTATCGGCGTCTTTTCCAGACGATTCTTCTCAACAATTCGATCTGGTGTCTCCTTTGACTATATACTGTAGTCTTGGTCGAAATAGCCTTCAAGAACACCTGAAGCCTGAGTAATCACCTGACTTTACACTCCTCGGTGTTGCAGAATTCACTCTGCGGATGCAAACATGATGATTTATCCATCAATCAGTCAATGGAATCCAAACCACCAGCACGCTGACTATCCAGCTTAGAATCTTTACTTGTTTTATTGATTGTGCGTTCCATATGGAGTAACTGTATTCACCTTATGCGTTAGTCTGAAATTGTTGGAAGGGCGACAGCCTAACAACAACAACAGCCATTCGCTGCATTGAACAGTGATAATAGTCAACTCTCATGCATTCTATCCCATTCCCATATACATACATCATCAACTGCATCATCTCTCAAGTCTAGGAAACAAGCTACTTATTGTGGCGTCAGATACCATGCAACTGGGGTTTCACCTACAACAGCCGATGCACCTTTTCTGATTGAACTCCACCAAGCCAGACCCCATTCCGATCAGTCAGAAGAGTCTACTATCGGGACTAGATAGTCTAGGCTGACTCCGAGCATACCCTAGTGGCATTTCCACGTTGCAGCTTAATAGAGCCAAGATATGGCTGGGATCCAGAGTCCTAATGTTGATTCGCCAGAAGATGAAAAGCTCCAATGCAGGGGATCGGTTCAGGTGGGTTTCGCCTTGCAATCCATGTTCTATTGCACACTTCCCTGTCTATATTATTGTCTCCACAGTGTTTTCTTTTCCTTATCAAGTATGACAGCTTCATTACGATCCACCGGCCAACATCTGCCGTTAATATCTACTGGTGATACGATGGGTGCAGGTTTGGTTATTAATGAGAAGTTTTGACTAGGGACCATCTGCAACAGCGCTCCATGAGCATGCCAGCGTCCTCAACGACTACGATGCTCAAAAAATTCTCCCGTATGAAGCAGATGATTCTCCATTTCCTGAGGTCCGCGCCGTGGTGCAGCCAGTTGACGACGTGAGTCTGCCTGTCAACACAGTGCGCGTGTGGATCATCGGCATCATATTCACTATTGTATGTCATACATCTCTTGCAACGAACTGTAGATCAAGTCGCTAATGCATCAGCAGGTGGGAAGCGGGTTGAATCAGTTCTTTAGTCTGCGACAGCCCAGCGTTAGCATCAGTGCTCTGGTTGCGCAGCTCGTGGCGTATCCGGTCGGCTGCGCGTGGGCAAGATGGGTGCCGCTGGGCTGGGCGAATCCCGACCGGCATTTCAATATCAAGGAGCATGCTTTGATCACAATTATGGCCAATGTTTCCTTTGGATCTGCTTCGGCTACCCAGGTGATTGAGGCTGCCGTGAAGTTCTACGGGATGCCTTCACGAGGTGGGTTTCACCTGGTACTCGTTATTACGACCCAGTTACTTGGCTTCGGTCTGGCAGGGATGGCTTCACGCTGGCTCGTTGGTCCTGCTACGATGATTTGGCCTGGGGTGTTATCAAACGCTGCGGTGCTACAGACATTGCATTCACGCAGCAACCTACTCGCGGATGGCTGGATTGTGTCCCGCCTCCGTTTCTTTCTAATAGTGTTCGGTGTCAGCGCTGTTTGGTATTTTGTCCCAGGCTATTTGTTCACCGCGTTGAGCACGTTCAGCTTCGTCTGCTGGATTGTCCCACATAACGTCGTCGTCAATCAGCTGTTCGGTCAAGAGACTGGGCTGGGGATGTCTCTTTTGACCTTTGACTGGGCACAGGTTGTTTTCGCGAATCAGAGCCCGCTCCTCGTTCCTTTCTGGGCGGGACTCAATGTGATGGGGTCGTTTGCCTTCTTTTACTGGATCATCTGTCCCATCATCTATTACACCAACACGTGGTACTCGGCCTACATGCCTATGATGAACTCCGATACGTTTGACAACACCGGCAGGCCATACCGCACCAAGTATGTCATGAATAGGGATGGAACGGTTAACACAGAGGCTTATCGCCGTTATTCACCCATGTTTCTTCCGGCAGGCTATGCATTGACCTATGGGATCGCATTCGCCAATCTTACCGGCATCTTTGTCCACGTTGCGCTGTATAATGGAAAGGATCTGTGGGAGCAGTGGAAAGGCAGGAACAAGAAGGATATCCATGCGCGATTGATTGCTGCCTACGCAGACGTTCCTTGGTGGTGGTTTGCCGGTGTGACGATTCTGATATTCGCGCTCAGCATTGTCGCCAACGAAGTCTGGCACACGGGGCTTCCGTTTTGGGCTGTTGTGATAGCGTTTATCCTTCCTATGATCTACTTCGTTCCAGTTGGGATCATCAAGGCTACGACCAACATCAGCAGCAATCAATTGAACCTGATCACGGAGTTCATTGGAGGGTATGCTTTTCTGGGACGACCTCTGGCAAACATGGTGTTCAAGTTCTATGGCTATGTAGCTGTCTCCCAGGGTCTAGAGTGAGTACGATCCCGTCACCGACCGACAAAGCTGACTGTTTAGATTTGTGGCCGACATGAAGCTCGGCCATTATCTCCACATCGCCCCACGTACACTGTTCATGGCTCAAGGATTAGCCACCCTCGTCGGAGCAATAGTTCAATGCGGTGTCACCGTCTTTATGATCACAAGATTTGACGATATCTGCACCCCAGAGGCGGATGGTGGATTCACCTGTCCTCACGGTCGAGTGACATATTCGGCTTCATTGATATGGGGTAAATGCATCCCTCCCTCTTTGTGATACTCTTACTGACAGACAAGGCGCCCTGGGTCCTGGACGTAACTTTTCTCCCGGTCAAATCTATGGTAATCTCCTCTGGTTCTTCCTCGCTGGGCCTGTAGTAATTGTCATCACCTTTCTCCTTGGACGGCGGTGGAAGTGGTTTAACAAGATCTCATGGCCGGTCGCCTTTGGAGCCATGAGTCTTGTTCCGCCTGCAACAGGGATCAATTTCTCCTCATGGTGGGTGGTCAATGTAATCTTTAATGGAATTATCAAGCGGAGAAAACCTGCATGGTGGTCCAAGTACAGTGAGTCATGTTTGCCTCTATGGTAATGCTTGTACTGACTCGCGCAGATTACGTTCTGTCTGCCGCCCTCGACTCTGGCGTCGCCGTGGCCACCGTCATCATTTTCTTTTGCATCCTGCTTCCTGCCGGCCCATTGAACTGGTGGGGGAATATAGTGTATCGCAAAACCGCGGATGGGTTGGGGACGCCTCTTAAACCCTTGCCATCTTCGGGATATTTTGGGCCACCGAAAGGGACATGGGAATAGATAGATTTCTCCGCATATAACTAATTCATGACCATCCAGCTCGTTTCAAGAACTATCAATTGATAGAAGTACACCAGATCTAAGATCAAACCTTGACAGCACGTCCCCTGACATACACCTTGGCAATATTGCGGTCATCTCCCGTCATCAAGAACTTCTCAAAGATGACCTCAATTGAATCCCCGTCTTCCACCGGCGCCATGACATCCATCTCCACCCCCTCCCCAGTCCGTACCTCCAACGCATCAAACTCCTTGCCGACAGCAAAGTTACCAACCCTCTCGTCCAGCCCACACACCTGCGCACCCCCCAAGGTCGCCAGGAAGAAACCCTCCGCCACCGACAACGCCGGATCCGCACCACGGGTCTCCGTCGCCCGCGCCGTAGACACCACAAACGCCTGCTTCATCACCTCGAGCATGGAAATCGTATGACCCCCGCCACTATCAGTTCCCAAGCCGACCTTGATGCCCCTCCGCAGATACTCCCGCACCGGCGCAACCATAAACGCCTGCATCGTCGTATTGGCAACAGGACAATGCGCCACGCCACAGCGCAGCCGCGCCAGCGTCTCCATCTCCTCCTCCTGCAGGAAGATACAATGCGCCAGGATCGACCGCTCATTCAGCAGCCCAAACCGCGCATACAGCTCCGCCTCATGCCGGAAGTCCGGGAACAGCTGCCTCGTAAACTCCATCTCCTGCTCGGCCTCGTTGAAATGCGTCTGGATGCGCAGGTCCGGGTTCGCGGACGCCAGCGCCCCAAGGCCAGAGAGGACCTCCTCGTCGCAGGAGATCGCGAAGCGGGGCGTGATCACCGCGTTGACGAGCGGCTTGTCGTCGTTTGCGTTGAACTCGCGCATCCACTGGATGAATTCCCTAGTCTCCTTGACTGATACGCCTGCGTTGAGATCGCGGTACCAGCCCGGCGCGTGCCGGTTCATGTTACACCGGCCGACGAGCGCCCGCTGGCCCCTGGCGCGGCATACCTCGGCTAGGATCTTCGTTGCGGCGAGATGCTTCGAGGCGTAGTAGCTTGCTGTAGTGATGCCCTGGCGGAGGAGCCCGTCCACGGCGGCGCTGTACATGCGCTTTGCGTACTCTACGTCTTCGAATTTTGCTTCGTGCGAGAAGGTGACTTTCTCGAGCCAGTCGAGGAGGGAGAGGCTGCGTCCTACGCCGCGCTGTGCCCACTGCGGGGCGTGGTTGTGGGTGTCGACGAAGCCTGGGATCAGGAAGGAGTGTTTGGACAGGTGTTTGACGGGGAAGACGTCGGGTGCGTAGCCATTGTCTGCTATCAACGTGTTGATGGTTGAGGGGTCGGTGTTGGGGACCAGAGCCTGGATGTTGCCGGCGATGTCGACTAGGAGAAAGGTGTTGGGGAGGATTTGGAGGTCTGTGGGGGAGAGAGAGTGGATGATTGTGCCATGGAAGGCGATGGGGAGGCCTGTTGCTGTTGGTGTTTCGTTCATTGTATGGCTGAGAGTAGCTTTGAGGTGATGATAGTATGAACGAAGAGTGTTGACGATGGATGCTTATCAGTGCGGGGCAGCTGCAGGTGACGCAGAGATCAGCGTGCAATGATACCAGACTGCTTTTTGAAGAAAAATCTAGTTGATGTCGAGGATGATTATAACTCTTTAAAATGAATATATATGTGTGCAGTATTAGCAATAACCGAGGCAAACAAAGCCATTGGTTCCGAATGATGCTCGCAGAGAGCCAGAGGTTCGTTCACTTGATACAGTTTGCAGCATGCCTCGTAAGTCCAGCGAGACGGATGTAGACGAGTATTAAGAAAAGTATTGGACTCTGCCTCATTGGCGATAAAATGAGGGATGTTGCGCGCCAAGAGCGCGGATGCAGTGATGATATTGAATATATACAAGAACATAACTATAGACTATAGGGTATAATATGTCGCCATTTCCTCCTGAAACCAATCATAAGAGTAAAACAATTGCTCTGCCAATTGGGGGTCAATCTGCCGGGGTATCCCATCAACCAGCAACACATCATCCAGCATCGGTGCCAGTGGCACCGGCGGCGGTGGGATGGCTGGCAGCGAACACGGTGGTGTAGGGGGAGGTGGCTGTGGTTGGGGATACGCTGTTTCCTGCTGCGGGTGTTGCTGCGGGTGTTGCTGCGGGTGTTGCTGCTGATATGGCATTTGGCTGAAAATCATCGAGCTTTGACACCGAAAGGTCTCCCCGAGTCTATCCACTCCCGGCCGTCGCTTGCCAAACTCCTCCAACAGCACAATCACCGCCTGGATGGCCCGGCGCATCATCTGCTCATCGGGCTGCCATAAGGGCGGCCGTCCATCCCGAAGGGCACGTGAATTTTGTTCTAGACACCAGAGGATGGTAATTCCAGCGAAATACGTCTGGCTCAGCGTCAGCCAGATCCATTTGATCTTGCCCACTGAATAGCTGTCCCAGTACGATCGAATGACCTGAATGCTAGAGTCACCACAGCTAACAATGCTAGTGGCGTCAGGGGTGGGATTGCGCGGACTGGGGCGGTACATCAGAAGTAGAGTGGTGTAGTAGAGATAATCGTAGTAGCTGGTCGAGTACAATAGTGCAGGCGGATACACAGGCGCGGCCGTGCGCCAGTCATCAAGCTCCTGCCGGAATTGAACCAGCATCACCGAAACTTCTTGAGGATCAGGAGGCGGTTGATTGTTATACACTACTTCGTTAGCCAGAACAGTAAACCGCTATGAAAGAACTCACAGTAACGATAGATCCGGGAGAACAGGCGGCGCAGCTTAACCACCTGGACCGGAATAGTCATGGTACTGCCTCCCGGCACTTCGGTCCAGTCATCGTTCAACTCCCGGGGCAGACCCACGCTGATATCCTCATCAGCAATCCCCAACGGTCGCCCCAGTGTTGACGCAATCAACCGGTCGAGATTATACAAACTCCAAAATGTCCGCTTGGCCATTTCCTCCTCCATCAGACTAGCCGAGGACCGCATCTTGTGAAGACCAAGACTGGTCGCCAGTCGCATGGCCGTCCCCAGAACATGCCACACACTAGGGCCGGTGGTCGCAAACATTGTATATAGCGCCAGACTCAGCAATGCCCGTACCGCTGCCAGGTCCTCGTTCTGCAAGGCCAGCGAAAGCGTCTGCTGACTAGCGCGATAGAACTCGCTGATCTGCGTGTCGTCCGCCGATCCGATCAGCAGCGCAATTGCTATCGTAATATGGTACGAGAAGTGATCTTCCGGAGTCGGTACTCCGCCCGCGTAGATGTGTCGCAGAAGCGCCATAAAGTCCGGTCGCGACAAGAAAGGATACTGGTAACCCATACTGTCAAAGTAGTTGCCTGCTATTCGCTCCGCCTCTTCCAAGGACGGTAAACGGACGACGCGCGGGGCCGACACTGTCGGGCGTGCGACCGACGGCCGACGGTGCTCAAGCTGGTCGCGAAAAATCTCCCCTACATTGGGCAACTCTGTTCCAAACCCCGACGTTTCCGACGCTGGCGGACCGGTCGAGGACCCTCGCCCGCTACCGGCAGGACTTGACGTCGTAGCACTCCCCGCACCGATGGAGTGTCGATTGCTGTATCTGGCCATTATGGCGGGCACCTGGTACCACCAGTCCGGATCGCCTTCCCCGTCCACATTGCTCCCCGTTGGTAGCTCAGCCACCGATAGCCCTGTCTTTTGCCGGAGGACATCTTCCAACCATTGTACTCGTTTCTGAAGGTTCTCGAGCTGGTCACGAGGGACGGAGGCGCTGGCGATCTGCGGACCGGGTGGTGGAACAGTACATCGGACCCCGGCGCGAGTACACGCAGAGCAATTGGGATATCGGAAATCGCATTTTTTCTTGCGTTTGCGACAGAAATCACACGCGGTGGAAACGCGTTTGGGGCGGGTGCCGTGAGAAGGCTGCAGCGGGGAAGCGACACTGGCGGTGGTGGAGTTGGGCGGTGGAAAAAGAGGAGGCACGGATCGAGGCTGCAACTGGGACAGCGACGAAGAAGAGGACGAATGGAGAGGAGTAAGCGGAGTAACGACCGACTCGAGACGGAATTTGCCCAACTGATCGCGAAACTCCTTGTCCCTGGCGGTCGAGCCGTTGGCCATGGTGAGGTCAATGGTGTCGGTCGAGATGAAAGGCGGAGAGAACGCTCAGACGAGAGGCCATAGCGATCAGACGCCAAGGAAGATGGTGGAAGTTTAGTGATCAATCATAAGTGACGGAGAGAAAGATTCATGCATTGTCGTACTAATATGTGTTTTGAGGGAGAGATGCTGTTGGCTGGAAGAGGAAATGGAAATGTTGCAGCGGAAACGGAGTACTCGGCGAAAGAGTTGGAACCGAGACTAGGAATGTTGAAAGAAGCAAATACTGCCAGTCAGAGAAAGATAGCAGTGTTACATTGACCTAATAACTATTTGCATTCGTTGGATGTAATTTTTTTCCCTATTGAGAATAGAATTCAATGTCGAGGCGTAGAGAATTTGATTTGGTTGAATTCGACTTCTCTGTGCATACAGACTGTCAATATATTCTCCAGCATCTTCTCCATCAATGATCCGATTCAGGAACGAAGCAAATCCACAGCCAAGACGGCGCCCATTTCTTGTCTTGAACAATCACAAGGGTCTGTGTCTGATCTGAACCAGTCAATGAATCGAAGTCGCAGTAATTTCCAACTATTCAGGCTAATCTGCCGTCAATCTGCCGTTTGATCGACCCGCTCTATCGCTCGTCATTTCGTCAGGCCCTCGAGGCCTCAACTCCTCCCTAGAAGAGTACCTTTAAGCGAGACTTGCAAATCAGGTTCTCCAGACTTTGCACGATGAGACCTCGTCTCCCCTGACTAGTTCGGCTGCCGACGGCGTTCAACAACCGATGCGGAGTTGTCCCTCGTATTCATCCGACGATCTTCTTCACTGGCCGCTATCGACGCAGGAGGTTATCAAGGTAGTATCCCTGGGATCTATTTTGGGGTGATCGACATCGTATTCGCCCTTGAATGCAGCAATACGGGCATGGAAGACGACGAGCAGAATATTCGGCATATCGCCGAGAAGAGGATAAATAGGAGTCTTTGTCCAGCAGACTAAGTCTGATCTGATCACTTTCTCAGACAGACACAATCAATCAACATGATGCTCGATCTGAAGCAGATTGCGGCCGTCCTCCTGGCTTCGGCCTCTGTGGCCCACGCCGCCGTTCAAGGCTTTGATATCTCCCACTACCAGGCCAACGTCAACTTTGCGGCGGCATATAACTCTGGTGCTCGCTCGTCATGATCAAGGTGCGTTTCTTATATACTCACTTCTATACAGATACGGAGTCCCGACCGCTCTAGGCCACCGAGAGCACCACCTACACCGACCCTTCCTTCTCCAGCCACTACACCGGTGCCACAAATGCTGGTTTCATTCGCGGTGGCTACCACTTTGCCGTTCCTAATGACAGCAGCGGCGCCGCCCAGGCCAAGTACTTCCTTGCTCACGGTGGAGGCTGGTCAAACGACGGCATCACCCTTCCCGGTATGCTCGACATCGAGTACAACCCCTATGGCGCCACATGTTACGGACTTAGCGCCTCTCAGATGGCCTCTTGGATTTCCGACTTTGTCAACACCTACAAGAGCAGCACCGGTCGGTATCCGATGATCTATACCACCGCTGACTGGTGGAACACCTGCACGGGCAACAGCAAATCTTTCACTGAGTGTCCCCTGGTGCTGGCTAGGTACTCCAGCTCTGTGGGCACCATTCCGGGCGGATGGCTGTACCAGTCGTTCTGGCAGAACTCGGATAGCTATACCTATGAGAAGGACGCTTTAGTCCATAATGAGGTCCATGGAGTGCATGGGGAGATTGTGCACCTGGCTCAATACTTCGATCTTTCTTATAGTCCTGGAGACAGTCCTAGGTGTTAGCTTTATGTAGCCCCAGACTGCCCATGGTGCACCTTACGTGTTGGATTTGTGGCGAGAGACGGCATACATGAGACACCGCGATTGTCTGATTGGACACGGGACGGTATCGAATGGATTTCTCATCAGTCTCCTCCAGGCAGACTGCCCTCGCTCCGTTGATACGATGAAGTGTGCCTCAGCATGCTGATGATCACTGTAATCCGATCACCAACCGCGCATTGTTAGGATAGTCCCTGATCCTTTGATTGTTTGGTTACAACATTTATTGCGGTAGCCAGTATAGCCAACTTGAATGTGATACGTGAATGAACACTCTCTTGATCAAGACAGACCATCCATGGACATAGGCAGTCCGTGAATGAAACAGAGCATTGTCTATGGCAACTACGTCACTCATGCCTATCTCATTCACGGTCAGCCTACTCTAGTGCAGAATAGCCGAGGTATGTAGACTGCTTCCTCTCTACCTCCCTTCTCTCCTTTGCTCCTTTGCATTCTCTCCATGCATCTACTTGACTCTTCAAACAGGCATATTGGGTTGGTTCTTTGACCGAGAACCCTACAGGCGCACTCTTTGTGGACCTGTTCCAATAACAACCTAGACACATTGATTATCGTCCCTGAGTGTGATCAAGCTAGCGACCATACCGGATGTGTCAGAGTAAGTAAAAAAGGCCCCTGTAACATCTCTCTGGCTAATGTATCAATCAACGAGGGCCCAGCTCCCTGGCTTGGTGTTGTACACCAGCCCAAGCCCACCGCGTATTTCTTATATCGTCTTTGTTTGCGGCTGTCTGACCTGGCATGTTGACATCACACTTCCCAATGCTCAAATTCAAGAGCATGACAATATATTGTCAGTTATTGAAAAGCTCGCATGCACGCGGCTGTTGTTTCCAGGCGTGAACTTGTGCCTGCTCTCAGTGATCCGCAGGGGGATTTCAAGCACACAGATGTCGAAAATGACAATGCACGGTCCAGTTCATTGTCGCTTCATGGGAATACGACCTTGCCAGGTTATGTTGGTTGGATCCTTCCTCTTTTGTCAACCTCATGAAGAACATCTTTGTTTGTCTTTCGGATGCCAGATTTCTGGACTCTAAAGCTCCCTTTGACAATGCCTCATCCTTTTAATAGGGGAATTGGGGAGCTTACTTGTGGGGGGCCTATGGGTCCGGAAACAAAGTAAAACTTCGAAACTCATCAGTCCAAGACGCTAATCTTGATTGAAGTCCCTTTTTCAACTAATTTGATTCTTTTATCCTTTTTCTTTCCTCATTTTTCAAATCAAATTTTCTTTTTTTTTTTCTCTTTCTTTTAAAGATGGTTCAAAAGACCATCAGCAAAGGAAAGAAGGTCGCCGGGGGTCGGTCTCGCACCGATTCCCGTGGAAATGAGGCAGTTGGCTTCAACCAACTATCTATTATCGATGCCTTTAAAAGGCAGAAGGTCCCATACGCCAATTCGACACTGGATACAAGGTACGTTTATTTTCATTACTAGAGTCATTTCTGCGCTTTGTTGGTTCTTTTTCCCCTTTTTCTTCCTGTTTTTCCTTTCTTTTGATGATGACTCGAAAGACCGTCAGCAAAGGAAAGAAGGTCGCCGGGGGTCGGTCTCGCACCGATTCCCGTGGAAAAGGCAGTTGGCTCCAACCAACTGTCTATTATGGAAGCCTTTAAAAGGCAGAGAGGCCCTAATTGTCAGGGACCTTCTCAGCGTTCAGTCTTACAGGACGATAGCTCCGTCTCACTCATTCGAGACAATCATTTGCAAACTTCAAGCCTTGAAACGCGAGAGAGAGAAATATCCCGGATGTCTTCTTCTCAGCTAGCTCGGCGTATGAGAAATGCCCTGGACGCAAAACAAAAGCAGGAGACTCGATGAATAACTGGGCTGTCTGGTATGACCAGCCTTTTTCATCGACCGCATACAAGGTATGTGAGCGTTTATACTCCATGCGCAATATAACAGTCGCCATGTGCTCTGTGAAAGTGTACGTTTCTCAAATTCCGTTTTATGGTTCTTATGGCTGACGAAACGTGGCTAGGTTGCGACAGGATGCTCATTATGTCGATGTGGCGGATTCCCTGGGTTGACGAGCAAGACACTGCTAGACTTCCATCGCTGACTGGTTCAACTTGGCCAGGTGTGGTATGCAACAAACCCGAACCTCAGCATGGCCAGCATGTTAATATCGCCGTCATACTGTACAAAATACCGACGGTCCATTGTCGTTCCTTTTCAGGGCAAGATGCATGCTTGTGGAAGTCTTCAATGCACCACCAGTGGCACTTCGTGAAGAGTACATAGCCACTCTTCCAAATGAACGACAGCCTGGCGTCACCTGGCCAACACAAAAAGCCTTTGAACCCGCAGAATAATCTGCATCGAGGAAGAACCCTCCCGGAAACATCATTCCTTGGGAGCCTCATTACAACTACCATGCCAGAGTTCAATCTGCAGAGGGAGCCCGAATCAAACTGATAAAATCTACCTGTCAGTAGCCCTCGCTTAAGGGTATCAGCGACATTGGATCGCCAAACACCGCTTTTTTGACTACACAAGTTCGCGGAGTTAGGAACTTTTTATCTAGCTCAACGTCGACCTCAATGAATCGGAGCAGGTAGTTTCTACCTCACCACAAGAGAGAAAGTCGGCTTTGCTTCGAATTCCATTCACTCTCAAATAAAATTACGCTTAAGCGTGGAGTTATTGTCTTCTCGGGGGTACAACACCCAACTACCAGCAAAACAGAAGTATCGACGAATCCTTCGTGATACTGGACGTTCGTCGACTTGCGTTCGATACAGTCGAGCACGGAAAACCATACCAAATCTGCACACTCAGCGATTCAAGTGACATTTACAATATATGACACGGTGAGCATCACCGAGTTCAAGGAACTCAAGAGATACCTACTGTTTTTCACATGAGACACAACAACTGCAGCCGCGTTGCTCAGATATCACTTTGTCCAGTGTGCTTCCACCACAGTCTGAGACAATGATAATCGGACCTAATGGAGGCTCTCAATTACCCTGATGATCAACACCCCTTAACCCTTTTGAAATCGAAAAGCCGTCTATAAGGAGTAGGATATTACCAGACAAAGTGCCTAGAATTTGTTACTTTCAGTGAAATGTATGATAATATGCCTAATCACAACTATTATTCAATAATGATTGTGTACAGACTCTTCAATGCAGTTATCTTATCCGAAACAGAAATACAATCTGCTAAAGTACAGCAACCGACTTAGTAAGTTTGATGAGTGATTCATAGCAAACGTGGCACGAGAGGATCCGATGCCTGGCCCCATGACCTTCAGCCTAAGGCAGTCTACCGTATACCATACTTCAAACGAGTGGAATGCATAGCACTGTTTTCATGCACCGACAGGTCCAGACATGCGGCGTCGTTTCAGCTATTGGATGCACTGGTCCGTTTTCTTCGGTCCACCTTTGGCAATTACACCAGGGTTACGAGGAAGCGACGACGAGGGCCTTGCGAGATACCAGGAGGGTACTTTTGTTGCTAGTCAGATGGCATACATGAGATTAGTTTGAGACAATCTAGATTCAGTTATCTAGAATGCCTGTTTACTGAGAATTTTCGTACCTGGCAACGTGCTCTGGCATATACATCGGAGTGGGAAGCTACTATATTGCTTGCGGGCATGTGCCTCCACTGCGACATTAGGAATCATGCCTCGGGCAATAGACCCGGCCAAACCCTTGCAGCTTTAATAGTCCAATTGGCTTGATTGCGTATACGAGTCAATCGGTCTCAGACTTTGGAGGCTATAGCAAGTCCGACACTTTCCCGAAATGGAGCTTGGAGACTCCGTTTGTACTGCTCTATCTGGCTTAGGTTTTGTCTAACGCCCTCAAGACAAGAGCATTTTCCTTGACGACGATTATATTTACTGGGTTGTTGCGATCAAGGGGCAAGAGTATTCTATTTTTTGAGTATGGAATAGTTGATGGGAGACTTGAATTCGATAGCAATGATCAATTGATTGAGTGATAGTCCCGGAACGACGAACGGATGCATCAGCTGCTCTTCATTTTGGCCCAAGGAAGAGGCATCCCATAGGCTCTACTAGTACAGTAGCATGCATCCCGTTCGTCGGCATTCCGAAATCCCATAGTGCGAATCTCGCTATATACGGACTGACGGACGCGAAATATCTACTCAAGCGGACGGAGCCACTCTGCAGAAGCACGGGTAGTCATTGACTAGGCGTTCGTATCATTGACCGAGACTTGTATGACGCCGCGGGGACTACAAGCTGGCTAATTGTGGTGACGACGGCTGTCGGCATCTATGTCTGCTCAGGCGTTTGCAGTAGAAGTGAGTCGGTGTGTTCACTCTTGCGTTGGCGGCTTTCGACAGGATATCCGGCGGATAGATGACGAATACTTCTTGACATCGGCAATAACCAACGGAGTCGTCTGGGTCAAAGTATAAGCCATCAAGTGGTAAATCAAATCAGACATGGAACAGTCCACTCGTGCTTAGCAGGATACCTAAGTTGGTTGGTAGAGGATGCTCTTACTATGTGCACTACCCAGCATTACACCAATTAAGAACAAAATTAGTCTATTGGTACTCGAAAGGTCATCAAACAGACCTCTCTGCCGCAAGCTGGATAGGGGTGGGTGGAACTAAGGCAAACAGGATTGAATCAAGGGAACGTGAAGCAATGACTATTAGCCTCATTCCGTGAATAGTAATTCCAGATACGTGAAGGAATTGCTGAGACGACGTGAATTATTAGGGTGATCTACAGATTCCACGGCGACTGTGACGGATCTTGCATATTATCTGCCGACTAATGATTTATACTCACCCACGCCCTTCTACATCTTATCATCTTTTCCTCTTCTCTCGCTCACCTCCATATCAAGAAACCCACATGATATCAAACCTGTGTCTGTTCTTAAACGAGCGTGGACTTTTTAAATCCATGTATTCTATCCTTCTTGACAAAGTGATGCGCTCCAGACAAGGAAGTACCGAAGCCAAGAGGCAAACCTCCGGGAAGATTGTGGCTTTGATCACCTTTCTCTTTGCCTTTGGCGAGGGACATGTCAATCAGTCACTCTGTTCCATCAAATCTTCAGTTTCATTAAGTCACTGTTCCTGAATCATTCTCCATCGCGAGCGTGGAACCTTCGGTTTTGTGGACATTACCTGAACCGGCCAGTCAACGAAGGTGCTTGGTCCGATTTGTGTACGCTCCGTGAAATTCTAGTTGGCCTCAGCGTGTCTGGAGGAACATACAGGCAAGTGCTCGCATGCTGATCTCTCCGGCCAATATTTTGTGCTTGACGGACGAAGTCGCTGACATTAGACATTTATCAGGATAGACGAAACGCCTCGTTGGCAAGCCAGAACCCTCGGCTCTCGACATCCTCGGATAGATGATCTTCCAAGCTGCCAGCGCTTCTGTGCATCAGCCATCGCTGTTGCGCTTCCACAAAGTGAAAGAATGTTATCCTAAGCTCGTGGATGCAAGGAAGGCCAAAGTGAAGTATAGATTGTACCCTTCATGAGGCTTATGCCTTACTAACATAGCAATAGGTCAAGACCGCGTCCTACAAAGAAGGTTGACGGCAGGAGAAATCCTCTCCACGCCAACTCTCACATTACAGTCATTGTTGCGGTCGAACCAAGGCCGAATCCACGTGAGTCGTTTCTGTTGCTGCCCAGACTGCTGTCCGACTTGCTCAAAGACTGCGCAACGTACAGATTGCAGAATATATGAAGCTGTTAGAGAGCTCGAAGGGCATCGGGTGTCGATTGATGCTCATATCCAGGCGGCTATGTCGCACTTGTGATGGCTCGGGCTTTTTGCTGCACGGCCTCGCTCAAGAGTGATTCAATCAGCTCACACGGAACTGTCAACGAATGTCAGAAATATAAAGACCCTTCTCAGCATGGTCAGGCTGGCAGTCCTGGACCCAGTAAAATTGGCCAATCTTTTCATTCTCTACTACCGTGAGATACTTTCTTCCGTTTCAACAAGCAGGGAGAGCTAACGAACTCAGCTCAATTCGTTTGTTTGAAGGAGTTCGCGCGGCATCGGTCAGTTATTACGGCGACGAATCGACAGTTGAAGGAGGGTGCTGCTCCTCTTTGTGAGCTGAAGAACTCATTTTCAACGGGCTTAGAAGACATCTAGGTACCAAGTCCGAGGATCCTGAAGAAGGGAGAGGCGATTGCTGAGGACCCCTGAAGGGGAGGATCTTGTTTGTTCTGTATGTCCACTCCTTCAATCCAGATACGGCCGTTGTGTGCGAGAATGTCCTAATACCGCAATGAAATGGATTTGCAAGGACAGCCGCAGGGATTCGAATTGAAAAACGAACGTCATCATATGGTCTTCTTCAATACTCCCCCAGCTCAAAATCCCAGACAGACACTTGTCTGCGGCTTGAGTGACAAAAGATGCCATGGGACACTTGTTAGAAATGCCCAGTGAGTTGAAGGTGTCCGGCGGACTTACCGACCCCTTCACTGATTGCTGGTCAGCACAGAAGAGCTGCCCTAGTATCGCTTGTCGATGAACAGAGCATGCTGGCTAGCTCTGGAGCGAAGCGCGCAGATGGGCAGCCCTTGAAACCGAAAATGTCGGTCTCTTGATTCAGATCAGTCGGCCCTCTTCGCAGAAATCCAAGAGGACCTAAACCAGACTGAGGTTCATAAGGCCTATCTTGGGACTATCACTGCCGACGTCCGCATCCTTGACGCCAATGCCTATGAAAACTGAGAAATTGACTGCGACCATGTCGCAGCCCTTATCAAAGGGTTTAGGAGAGGCTGTCGTCGTTACTTCAAAGAAACAAGAATGAAGGCGACGACGTCCTCTGATTACGAGGCTTATCTCCAACACTACGTTGACGGTCAGGCAGAGGGATCTGACCAATACAGACGGAGGAACTCTCACAGACTTTGTCTATCTGAAAGAGTGGCCCTCAAACATAGCGAATGATGCTATGTCCACAGATGACTCTCGATTGAATGACATCCACTCTGTATGACCCCCTCCTATTGGGCATTCCTTTAATGGAAGACACACTAATGGCAGGATAGATACCGACCTTGCCCACTGGCATTGGCCCGAATCAACCATAACCTCATTTTCAGAAGACATTCGTATCGTTATAGGTGAGCCGAATCCTTCAAGATACCTGTTTAACTTTGTCTCTTATATCTAACATATGAGATTAATATTTGAAGTTCTTCTAGGAGTAAATCATCCTCAACGGAGGGAGCGACGAATGCAGCTTGACAGTGTTACCAGCAACTTCGCGGTACACTTGCTCGCCGCTATACATCGACGACCTGACTGAAACTCAGCAGCAAATACTGGAACCTTAGCTTCCCTCCGGACAAAACTCCGAGTTTGTTCTGGCCAAAAGTATTTGGGGCTAACATGTCTCCATTTTGAACCGTTCGACCATTGCAACGAAGGAGAGGAAACCCATGGTCTGGGGCCGGCAAGGCTCCTTATAAGGGCCTCTCCCCCTGAGCCGATTTCGTGATGATTTTCCTGCATGGTCTCATGTCAGATTTGACATGAAAGCAATCACATGACACGTCCTCGACCGGGTTCTCGGTAGAGGTGCAACGGCAGTCCTTCAAAAAATATCCAGTCCGTTCACAATGCGAGTTACTTCCGACACCGAACAAGACCGTCTCGAGCCTGCAAATTCAACATCGATGATGAGTGGAACCAATACGAATGGGATGGCTTTGTGTGACGCTAGGCAACTCATCCATGCCTTCGATGAAATCGGTTGAAGGCTCTACCCTTTTCACAGCCTTAGACTCCCCAGTCACTGTTGAGCGTGCAAAGTCCAGAGTCGAGGCATGGTGCCTGAGAATGAAAATGGCCAAATGGCAGACATATCGCTTTGCCAGCCAATAGCGGGCTCACGACGATTTGCGAACACTTGTATCACGCGCGTTTGAGCACACACCAGCCAGGTAATCCGTCTATATGCCACGATAAGGTCTGTATTTGACGTCAAAATTCACAACAGTCTTCTGTCCTGACCGTCGCCCTTTCAGATGCCGAAAACCCACATAGCAGCAGCCCTCCTAGGCCAGCTCGGCTGGGATGACCCCGGCGTGATGGGCGAGATGAGAAATCTGCGACTTCCTTTACAAGCTGTATTCCAAAACACAGAATGGCTCTCGACGTGAACATGACTCGCTTGTCTGACGATGCCCTCGATTGCCAATGACTACCACTTCCATCTGTTTCCTCTTATCTGTGGTTGCTACGGGGCTCAGTATCGCATGTAATGGTCCTTGATACGGAAGGCGAAGCCACCCCAAACACCGCGCTTATCGTCTTCCTGCAATGTTTCTGACAGGACTAATCACTGGTATGCCGATTAACTGGTCCTCAATAGACCTATTTCACCCGGTACTCGAAAAATGGGCGTTATGATTCAAGTCAACATTCGCCCCTGGAAACACTAGGCCTTTTGGGGATAATGCCGACCTCCTCGAATACTCACGAAATCTTATTCATAAGATTTTCAACGTATGAGACGTTAACAAGTGAGAAATTGCAATCCACTGAGACGCTGGCCACGCTTTCAATTGTGGAGGACAAAAGAAGGAATGAAGGATGCCCGCCAAAGCACGGTCAACCGACTTTGTGATATGGTCAGTGGAGTGTTCTATAACCCCCCAGCTTTCCACTGCGCAATCCCTAGACGCCAGAGTTGGCCAGACCTCGACCATGGTTTCAACTACAACGGTTGAGATCTCCGCAAGGCGGGCCCTCTAACTTTCATCGACGTGCCTGGGGCCAAAGATCACCGCGATTCCTGACAGCGCTCCCGGATCAACTCCGACCTTGCTGCTGTGGTGTATGCTCTCATCTTGGACCTGCTTGATAAGCCACCTGTCACTGCTCTTCTGATTACGAATGTCATCATAATACAGGAGGCGCGAGCTGGTGGGATGGTTAAAAGAATCATCCCACCATGTCCCCGCATTTAATAACCAGTAAGTTATGGAGAGAGAGTCTTGCGAGATTTACGAATCTATACAGATACGCTCTTGTCATTCATAGTCTTTTATTGGTCTTCCGTGACAATGAAGGCAAATATCTCTTCGTCGTCTCGGTACGAGCCACCGCAAAGAGTGAGGAGCCCTCAAAACTCAACGCCCTCGGTCCTTGTGAGTATGTTGATTTCACTAGCATCTGAACAGCCATGTGAGAATATCTGACGTGAAATCACTTCTTTGACTAGGGAAATACCATATTTCTTCTGTTTGTGCTCTGTTTTGTACAATTTGACACCAAGCTGTCTGGATGGGTCACAGACCACACGGCAAAGACCATCCGGACAAAACACCACCACGCCGTGGCAAGGTTGGAGGCGAGACACGGTGGACATGCGGACGGTCATCGCGCCCTCATCGTGGCTGTGATCCTCCTGGTGAGGATTTTGAGAGGCTCCTAGCTGAGATGCAAAAGTTCTACCAGTCTGTGAAATGTCTTGATATTGCATTCCACAATCCGAAGATCCGTGATCGTGAAGATCTCAGTGTCATTGGGTCATTTTATTAAGGTTGGCCTACCATGGCAGCCGAACATCGGAGTTGCGCGAGAGCAATCTCTTGTTCTACAGTCATCAATGTCCCTGAAATCCAACAGACGCATGCAGGCCTATGGGAGCCTTATTTGGACCAAAGCTGTCAATTTTGCCCATGTACACATCCAGCAGTCTGGACGACGGGGCCTATATTACTTATACTGCGCGATGGTGAGATGAATGCGCCCTAATTGACGGTAGACTTGCTGACTGAAGATCTTCCTCCAGTTATTTGGCCAATCGAGTCCAGCAGTCATTCGCATGATACCACGCACGAGGTACTGTACAATATTACAGGCCCTCCTCATTTTTCTCTATATTCCTTGGAGGAGTCGACTTTGGTTTTGAGTGGGAGAGAGCTACTGGCCTAATCAAAGTAATCCCATCGGCTACCCCCGAATCCCTGATCCATGATTTCACCTTGAAGGTTGGCTCTGACCTGAAGGTCCCAATGTTACAACGGATTGCAGCGGGTGAGCTTTCAGAACTGGACAAGCGTCTGTATCGTCGGAAATTTATCAACTTGACTAAAGCTTCAGATGAGGCAATTGCGCGTAATGACTATGCGCCCTTCCGATCTCTTTTCAAGAACATCGATGACCTCTATAAACAGTATGGATTCAATGTCATTGAGGTCAATGCCAATGAAGCCAATGATGAAGAGTCGGATCCATCTATTAGCCCAACTTATGGGGAGCCTGAGGAGTTCAGCGATGAAGATGGCAATGATGGAGTGGAGATGGTAGAGATGGGAATGGTGGTAATTTATTTGGACTCCAAATATGGGCATCCACTGGACGGACCGACAATGGATAGGGACTACTACATACAAGCCAGCCAACAAGGGAAAGCAAGGCGACCAGGCATTCACTTGCACTACGACACAGTCCTTCATCGTTTCTTTAAACATTCCTTCTCCATCAAAGTTCACGAGATGCAAGCCTGTGGACCGAAAATTCTGACAAGACAAAGATGGCGAGGTCGTCAACAAGTCACAGCAGCTTCTGAGCACCCTGGCCCCTGGGCTGTGCAGCCTTCTGGATACGTATTCAGGACCGTCTCACTAATGAGAACGCTCCAGACGGATGCGACTGATACTCTGAATAGCTATCACAGGCCGAAACAAACGTCGATATCTCTGGATACATTTCTATTTCAAAGGGTAGGTATGCACCTGCAAGAAGACTCTCGACAAAGTCGCCTATCATATCGTCCTTCGAATGGCGATTGAATCGATTCAGCAAAAGCATTGGACTCAAACCAAGGAAGTCCTGAAGGTTTCCATGTCCCTTGGCAAGTTCTTGCAATTGGCCAATAGCAATGTGAGTTTAATCGATCTGAACGAATCTGACGATGCATGGCCCGGGGCATTTGCATCTGTAAGACGCCACCAAGAAGCGATTTTGCACGTCGACACGGTGACCCAGAGGAGAAAGGCCAGTCCAGTTTCTGAGACCAGGATATCCAGCCCCGAGCGGCTAAAGCAAACATTGGGCCGCACTATAGCGAAGATTGGCATTCGCAACCCGCTTCCGATTCGCCATACGCGAATAAAATGACAGTCTCGACATCTGCCATAATATTTCTATGTCACCATAGATGCACTGAAGATGGAGACGGGCATGCCGAAAGATACCCTCTAGGAACCTGGTCTATGATGAAATAACTGGGGGCCAGGCGTCGGTCCATGGCAGCACGGAGCCCACTATCATAAGTCAATTCCGACTAGATGATACTACATTCCGGCCAATAGAGGGCACAGCTGGGGAGTCAACATGGCAACCTTGTAGTCTTGTGGACGCTTTCCAGGCTCACGACTCGGTTCCGACCACCATTGTGTACATCACGATCATCCAATGATACTGCAACAGAAGGCTTCCTCGCTGTTTCTTTTGAAGCACAATAGACACATGGCGTTCGGTCTAAAAAGAAAGAAATCCGGAAGGGATCTGGGGTTTGTGACTGGTGTCTCGGTCATTGTCCAGTATTGTTGACTTTACAAGAACGAAGAGGCACCGTATCGCTCAGAGCATGGCTCTCAAAATACTAGGCCACCTGCACAAGTTTCGCAATGGACCCCACAATTCGACACTGGCCGTGCCTAATAACATGGGCGTAGATGCTATGTCATCGTGTCTACTACTCATCCCGGCGGCAAGTTTGTGCTTGCGCTCGTCGGCGATAGGAACTGGCAGAACATGGCGCTTTGCTGAGGGTTCCGGTCATTGTTGGAAACCAACGGATGGGCCAGAGCATACACTCAACGCACGGCTATCTGAGGACGCGAACGACGACCCGCTCCGCGCTTGGTATCCGGGACACCCGAACAAAGTCTTTGGAGACTACCCCAATCAAGAAAATCGTCCGGTCGTAACCCGATCGATGAAGCCAAGCTTTCTCAGCTGGGAGGAGTACGTGACTCTCCTTGGCTACGGGCTGATCTACGAGCACGAGCACGTGGCGGGGCTAATGAAGTCCCTTGCCGACTCGATCGCAACCCTGAAGGTTATTGAGATACCACGGGCGGACACCCGTCAGTATATTGGATTCCTTGAGCTCGCTGATGAGTTCTGACCTACAGCCTGGTGACGCGATGAAGGTGAACTTCAACCTGAAGTGCCAGAATCGCATATCAACTGGCATGCGTCAAAAGGCAGTCACAATCCTCCTGACTCGACCCTGGGACAAGAGAAGCGGGAATGGGTGCGCTTCGACGACGACCTGGAACGCTCGGTAATTACGATCGATGCTTTAGGTCCTATGCAGAACGCCAGGTCTCGGCCCCTGGCGAGAGACTCGCAGCAGGTGGCAGTCAACGTCTTGTTCTCCGACAACCCATTCCACTGACAGATCACTGCCCTACGAGAGCTGCAAAACAAGCGCGTGGAGAAGGTGCCGACTTGGTCGATTGATGAAGAGAGCATCGACACCTACGAGTTCGGAGCAGACAGCACCAGAAGGGGTGAAGTCTCAGAAGAGGAGCTCATGGTGCTGCTCGGACACGAAGCTATCTTGCAGAGACCGCTCTGCTTCGCCCGATGCCGAAGGATTTCGTTTCATAGAAGGACACAAACAAATCGCCGCGTGATGGCAGCACTGGAAATGACTATCACCATTTATACTCATAAATACGAAGGTTTGCACCTGTGACTTTTTGCGGGCGAAGCTGTCCTGACTTCGGCTGACCACTGTTAGCTTGAACCATCTCATACCTGCCCTGCACACTCCGAGGACTTCTACTGTCGACATACCAAGATTGGCAGCTTCAAAAAACACATCAACCTTGCCGAACAATATGTTCACCCTCATTTTCCATGAAGAGACCCATTTCGAACCACCATGGGACTTCGTGCCCGGGGCATGCGCCAACTGAACATCCTCTCAATTATTGAGGTACAGCCAAATCTACGGTACTTCAGCCTAACCGCCGCTCAGAACCAAGAGACCAAGAGACCGCGACAGAACGTTCACTCCGTAGTGGCCTCATTCGCCTGAAGAATGAGCATAATTATGCTAGTTCAAGGTCTCCGTGAGTGGTACAACAAGCTGATTCCACGTGAGTCGTTGCGTACTTGTAATTTCTTATAATTTTGCGAAAAAGCCAGCAGAAGAAGGACTCGCAGGCCAAGCACATCTGCTGTCAATCTCCACGTGAACCAATGGCTGTCGGAGGACGTGATAATGGAGTCGGTTCCTGCCAGCGTCAGGACCGAGTCCGTGACGTCGCATGGCAGGAAAAAGGACACCACAATCTGGGGACAGCTTCGCAAGATCGGCTTTTCCTCCACGGTTGTCCTCAGGGTTTGGATTGCAAGCAAAAGCTAGGAATCATTCTGGTAGGCGAGGACATCAGACTCAAGAGGAAACCAGGAGAAGAACGAGCCTCTTTGTCGGTCCCGTCTGGACTTGATACTTATCATCGCTACAGATGTGGAGAAGACCAGATTCCAACAGTCCCTGAAAGACCCATCATCGCCCGCTTCTCCCGAAGCTTCTGTCTACAAGTGGGATCAGCCTCGTCCTATCCTTCTCAAACGGTAGATCCGCATCTTACGATTTCGAGATGAGGGTCTGACGAAAACAGGCGTCTTGGAAATATTGAAGAGAGCGAAGAAGTCAGCCGGTCAACAAAGATCACTGTTCGACTAGATAGCCTCCTGGCTTATCTGTTGGCGTGAATCAGTCACTGACGACGGGACTGCACGACTGGCAATACAAATCTACACGGAACGAAACGAGGCCTACCATGCAATGGTTGGGACCTAAACCAGACCGAAGTTCACAAGGCCTACATTGGGGCTATCGCCGCCGACGTCCGCATCCTTGACACCAATGCCTATGAAAACCGAGAAATTGACCGCGACCATGTCGCAGCCCTTATCGAAGGGTTCAAGAGCTCGAAGACCTCGGTGTCGTTGATAACACCTGTCGTTCAGTAGGTGTTCGACCACCTACGAACAATAGTTATTACGGAGAAAACGGGGCCCAGACTCGAGCTGGTGGATAAACCATTTCAATGGAGGGGCTAAACTCATCATCCTTAATTGGATCCGCGCTAGTCGCAAGACGATCGAGATCGAAACGTGTGTTCCAGAAGACATACTTGCTGTTAAAATATATAATACCACTATGACTATGGATATGAGACCCTGGACTGATGAGGACCATGTCCGGACGCCTTTTTGGCCTAGTGTATTATAATTCAATACTTGCCCTCCCACCGCTGGGTCATGCGCAAACTCCATTCATTGCGATGAAGTATGCAGAGGAACCAAAGCTAGGTGACAAGACTGAACTGGGCTAAGCGGTTCTGGACTTCACGAAAGCCCTCTCAGCATAAGTTTGCAATGCATGACCACTTTCAAAGTGAGCAAAGGACTATTGAGCGAGGCGCATCTATCAAAATCTGGACTATCACATTCGTTTTCCTGTATATAACATCCAGCAGACCGTGAAGCATTGGATTGAGCACTACTAAGGACTCAAAATGTATATTCTTACCCAGCTAATATCATCTGAATAATTTTGCTTTCGCAAACGATTATCAAAGACTAGTTGAAGTCCCCTGTTATGATCTACAAAGGGATACAAAGAGCGAATTGGCGTAGCTGGGTATAGTCTGCAGATACTCTGACCCATGAAGAAGTCAGTCATGTTGGCCGTTTTTCCCGCGACTAACCAGACGACAAATCTCGAACCTTGCGGAAATACTTGTACATATATTCAGTGTTGGTCAACGGCTGGCAGGCTCAGCAGAAGATGATAATGTCGAATGCACTCAAACCATCGAGCTAAAAATGCGTCAAACAAGCCTTAGAGAACTTCCGTTGGATGCAGAATATAGACTAGAACATTCTGGCGTGCTATAAATACTGCCCCACCCAAAAAGGAAGGCATTCATAGGAAAGATAGCGCGGGGTACTGGGCGGGGCCTAGGCTGTTCCTGGTTAGAGCAAAAGCTTGTGCACCGTGCTGGTAATCCCGCTGCTTAAATCCGGCGATGCGGGGATGCCGAGGTCTCCTCCCTATCATCCATTTTGAAGCTGATTAGAAATCACTTAATGGAAAAGCCGTTGTCTCAATTGGCATTGCATTGTTACACTACCAAGCACAAAGGTTCCACAACCTTGAAAGTTTCGGACACTTTGTAACGCGGTAGTGGTTCGGTGATTGATCGTCATGATGTAATACGTAATAGGGCCCACCCACCTCTACCGTCAATTCTTAAGCATTGGTAAGCGTCACCTCGCAGCATATTCATATAAATTCTTCCATTCTCTGCGACTTTCCTAAGAAGTAGTACACCAGAATCTATAGCAGAATCAAAATGTCCACCCAGAAAGCAGTCATCATCACCGCCCCCAAGCAGGCGAACTTGGTCACCGACCGCCCCATCCCCAAGCTGCGCGATGACTACATCCTCGTCACGACATTGTTGAGGAAGTGGGCAAGGCCGTCAAGAAGCCCTTCAAGAAGGGCGACAGAGTCTGCGGGTTCGTTCACGGCTCCAACGCCGTGCAGCCCGAGGACGGCACGTTTGCCGAGTACATCGTCGCCAAGGGCGATCTGCAAATCCACATCCCCGATAACCTGAGCTTCCAGGAAGCCGCCACGCTGGGCGTCGGTATCACCACTGTCGGCCAATCGCTATTTCAGAGTCTTCAGGTTGCTTGGCCGGACAAGCCGATCAAGGACGCTCAGCCTCTCCTGATCTATGGCGGTTCTTCTGCGACTGGTGCCCTGGCTATCCAGTTTGCCAAGCTGTCCGGCTACCGGGTGCTGACGACGTGCTCGCCGCGCAATTTTGAGCTCGTCAAGAGCCTGGGTGCCGATGCGGTGTATGACTACAACGACCCCAACGCCGCGGCGGGGATCCGCAAGGCCACCGACAACAAGCTCAAGTATGTGATGGACACGATCTCGCTGGAATCGAGCGCCAAGTTCTGCGACGAGGCGCTGAGCACCGAGGGAGGAGAGTACACTGCTCTTCTGACTGTTCCCATTAAGCGCGAGAATGTCAACGATCGCTGGACCCTGGGATACACTTCCGTCGGTGAGAAGTTCAAGTTTGGCGACAAGGAAGTCCCTGCGAAGCCGGAAGATTTTGAGTTTGCGAGCAAATTTTGGTCGGTCGCTGAGAAACTGCTGGCAGAGGGCAAGGTCAAGCCGCACCGTCCCAAGGTTTGTCCGGATGGACTGAAGGGTGTGCTGAATGGCCTGCAGCTGATGAGAGAGGGCAAGGTCAGCGGAGAAAAGTTGGTGTACAATGTTGCTGAGACCCCTTGAATCACGCCTAGTGTATTTATATAATGAAGCACAACAATAATTCACATAATCTCTGCTGTTGCTAGTAAGCACCAAGAAAAAAGTACTTACTGAGAACATCCCCTATCAGCTTCACGTCCTTTTGCTTCTTCTTTCCCATCTCCAAGCACCGAAATCATCAATATAGATCAAGATATGGCAGTAGTCGGCACATATGGGCATATTGATCTCTCCCTTAACATCTTTAGGTTGGCAAAAATGGAAGAAAACAAGGTTCAGCTTTGTAGCAATGGTCTCTGCACTTCCCTTTGCACCAAGCAAACATAAACCAGTGAGTAGATGCATGTTGAAGAGAAAAATGCTTCATCGAACTGATCTGGTGATGTGGGAATGTCAGTGGTAACAGAAGCTTCTTCTTAGCAATACCCAGTAGCAAGGCTCATCGTTTGGCCTGGTGTTGATCTTGGACCTTGGGAGAGACGTGGCCGAGAATATATGTCGCTGTCATCGAGTCTGAAGATAACTTGACGATATGTCTGTTGTGATGCAGACACCATCAAACTATCCGATCTATCTGCCGTCGGGCAATAGGTAGTCAGGCAAAGTCCTCTTCATCGGAATCGGTTACCGAAGTGAGAAGTGAGAGGTGGGAAGTGAAGTGGTGATTGACCCACCCACGCCCTTCGGTTTAACAAGCCGAACATTTTCTGACCCAACAGAGTCGACTTGGACCATTATTCTCTCAACATATCGACAACAAAGTGACAAGATGGAGTCAGATATTCAACTGCGTCTACGCTCAGAAGAACAATCCCTAAGCTCTATTCAGGATCATGACCACGAACATAATCAACAGCTCCCTCCGATGGACGGCGGGAAAGACGCTTGGCTTTTCCTAGCAGCATGTTTCATGATAGAGGCCCTTATATGGGGTAAGCTCCTACTCCTACACAATCGATCACTCCTAGCAGACCTAATTCAGGTTCAGGCTTCTCCTTCGCCTTTGGTATCTTCCAGGACTACTACAGCACCCATGAGCCGTTCCAAGGGTCCAGCAATATCGCCATCATCGGGACATGCGCAATGGTACGTTATTCCCACCAACGTACAACAAAAGACCAGCCGCTAATCACCGCTCCAGGGCGTCAACTACCTCCTTGCCCCCGTTAGCTTTGGCATCCTTCTTGCTTTCCCGCGGTTACGCATCTGGGCCGCTCCCGCGGATTTTGTGACCATGTCACTGGCCCTGGCGCTCAGCTCGTTCTCCACGACCACAACGGAGTTGATCATCTCCCAGGGTGTATTCTACGGACTCGGAGCGAGTGTCGCGTACACGCCGACCATCATCTTCATGGATGAGTGGTTTGCAAGACGGAAGGGGCTGGCTTTTGGGATTATGTGGGTGAGTTTCGTCTCCTGTAGCCTACACTGTGGTCCTTTGTGCTGAAAATGGACAGGCAGGAACAGGTCTCGCGGGAGTCGTGCTTCCAGTTGTACTACAATGGCTCTTGAATACGTACGGCTACCGGGTCGCCCTGCGCGCCTGGGCCGTGATCCTGTTCGTGCTTGCGGCGCCTCTGCTCTACTTTGTGAAACCGCGAGTGCCTATCTCGGCGTCGTCCAGCATGCGCGCGTTCAACCTCTCTTTCGTTCTTGATCGGACGTTTTTGATCTACCAAGCGGGAAATATCATTGAGGCGCTGGGATATTTCCTTCCCACGATCTATCTCCCGACGTATGCGCGCTCACTGGGCGCGAATAACCTCACCGCATCGCTGACGGTCATCCTGCTGAACCTTGCTTCGGTCTTTGGGTGTGTCATCATGGGCTCCCTGGTTGACCGCTGCCATGCAACGACGTGTATACTCATCTCGACTGTTGGAACAGTGTTGGCGACGTTCCTACTGTGGGGCTTCGCGGTTAGTTTGGCGCCATTGTTCGTTTTCTGTGTGGCCTATGGCGTTTTTGCGGGCTCATTCACGTCGACGTGGCCTGCTATTCTGGGAGAGGTGCGGAGGAAGAATGCCTATGCTGATCCGGGCATTGTGTTTGGGTTCTTGTGTTCCGGACGGGGGATCGGGAATGTGGTTAGTGGGCCGTTAAGTGAGGCATTGATGGCGGGGGAGAAGTGGACGGCGGGGTATGGGTACGGCAGTGGATATGGAGGACTGATTGTGTTTACGGGTGTGACAGCTCTTTTGGGCGGGTTGAGCGTGTTGGCGAGGCCGTTAAAGTTGTTGTAGAATTGTGACTATCACCATGTCAACATCCAATGGCCCGAGATCGGAAGAGCTGCGGGGTTGCATGGCTCACGGCTATACTCTTAGCCACCACCACAAACATATCTTCAACACCTCAGTCAGCTTTGTCAAGCACCAATTGATTAAGGAATTAATGAACACACCTGCAAAATGTCCAGAATCAAATTCGCCGTCCTCGATGACTACCAAAACCTCGCCACTAGGCACTTCGCCCACCTCACCTCCCGTGTGGACATCTCCTACTTCCCCAACACCCTCGACCCGCGCGATCCAGCGCAACAACAGAAGCTGATCGACCGCCTACGCCCCTTTGACGCCATTCTCGCCATGAGAGAAAGGACGCCCTTTTCGAAGGAAAGCATCGCCGCCCTCCCCAACCTCAAACTCCTCCTGACAACCGGCAACCGCAATCTATCCCTCGATCTCCCCGCCCTCACCGCGCGCGGGATCCCCGTCGCCGGGACCGTCGGCCGACCCCCAGGCGTCAACTCCACCGTACAACACACCTGGGCGCTGATCCTCGCTCTGGCGCGGCACGTCGCGCGCGACGACGCAGCCGTCAAGGCAGGAAAATGGCAGGGTTCGCTGGGGCTCAATCTATCCGGCAAGACGCTCGCGCTGCTGGGACTCGGCAAGCTGGGCGCGCAGGTCGGGCGGATCGCGGTCCTCGCGTTCGGGATGAAGGTCATCGCGTGGTCGGCGAATCTGACGCAGGATAAGGCCGACGAGCAGGCGACCGCGCAGGGGTTGCCGGCGGGGAGCTTCGAGGCGGTGCCGGAGAAGGGGGAGTTCCTGCGGCGGGCGGACGTGCTCAGCGTGCATTATGTGCTGTCTGAGCGGAGTCGGGGGATCGTCGGGGCGGAGGAGCTGGCTGCGCTGCGGCCGGAGGCCATGATCGTAAACACGTCGCGGGGTCCGCTGATTGATGAGCGGGCACTGCTGGAGACGCTGAACGCGGGTCGGATCCGGGGTGCGGCGCTCGACGTGTTTGATCCGGAGCCGCTACCTGTTGACAGTCCGTGGCGGACGACGGCTTGGGGAGTTGATGGGCGCAGCGAGGTGCTGTTGACGCCGCATATGGGATATGGGGAGGAGGAGCTGATCAATGGGTGGTATAAGGAGGCGGCTGCGAATTTGGAGCGGTGGTTGGATGGCAAGGAGCTGCAAGTCAGACTGAATTGATCATATGAAATAATGTACATAGTGGTATCATGCATCGTTGGGCTGCATGACATGTGGGATATCCATACTCCGTAGATTGCTAACTGCCTATCCTGATGGAGTAAATCACCTGGTATGAAAGTCAATTTGAAACCTGCTAGAGTCGAATTGCATGTGGATGCTCACCGGATGGACCAATTCGTCCTTTCAGATGCCAATCAGACTGTCAGGCTATGCAGAACCTTAATCGAGCCTAATATAGCTGTGGGCAATTGTGTTTTGTAGATGTAGACAGTTGTACCTCGGCATAATAAATAATACTGACCACCGCAAACAGCTCAGTCGGACCCACAGAACCATGTTCCATCTTTCCGCTGCACAGCATTCCTCGGTAGAAGGGAGACATAGACCTATTCGAGTTAGCTAGTGCTTATATTAATGATATTAATGAAGCAAGTAAACAAATGATGCAAACTACGCCATCAGCGACAGGAACAGCGGCAGGAATCGGGCCACCCCACATTCACATTCATCTCTCGTATAAGTAGGCGGGGTACCTCACTTCCGGTTCAGGATTATTTCTGTATACCACTTGACTCCCTTAATAATTGATTCTCTACTTCTTCAATTGACATCCCCAATATCTCATCTGACAATCTCTACAAAAATTGATCCAATTGAACTTCTATATCAACCACAATGGCCCCGATCGCTGTCCAGGAATCCAACCTCACCACCACGACGACAACAACAACAACCCCCCAAGCAACCCATCCTGGCTTGATTCAAGTCAACCGCTCCCCGAAAGCCTTTGGCAGCAGCGCCTCGTCGCTGGTCTCGCTCCCGGCAGGCGCCGTGTTTGCCAAAATCACCACCGCCACGCCCTCCAAGAAGGCCTACACATCCGTCCAGACCGGCGGGGACAGCCACATCGAGTTGAACTCCGACCTGGTGTTTTGCAACCACTCATGCGACCCGAGTTTGAACTTTGATATGCACAAGATGGAGGTGCGGGTTGTGGACGAGCGGCCGTTGAAGGTCGGGGATGCGTTGACGTTCTTCTATCCCAGTTCCGAGTGGGAGATGGACCAGGCGTTCAACTGTAACTGCGGCAGTGAGAAGTGCAAAGGGTGGATCTCTGGGGCGAAGACGATGGGGAGAGAGGAGCTGGAGGGGTACTGGTTGAATCCGCATATCGAGGAGATGTTGAGGGAGAGGGACGGTCAGCTGTGATGATGTGTTTGTAGAATAGAGTAGACTTGATAGACGTTCGGGGTATATATACATTGGGATATTGGTGTACTTAGTACTGCACAGGTCTATGATACGGCTTTGCTCTTGATTGCATTCATCTTCTGATGCAACTCATCGATATGGTCCTTCAGTGATCGAATATCTTCTTCGACAGACGCCTCAGACTGATTCAGCTCCTCGTGGAGACCCTGAGGGCTAAGCCTGGGTATGGAATAGCTGGGTTTCGACGCAGGGAAAACACTATATAATTAGCGCCAGGGATGGAGATTTCTATATACCAGACAACATCCTCATTGTACATATCACATCGACACTCCATTATGCCTGCTGAGCCTTGATCCAAATATCTCTCCCCGCGACTACTGTACTCACCACCATCGCCATGCCCACCACCACCTCACTCACCTGAATCCATCCCAAAAATACCCCAGGAATCAACAGATCACAGCCATCAACCACAATCCGCTTCATTAGGGGACCAGAGCCTCCAACCTTCCTCTCCTTGCTACTCCCGCCCTTCTTCTCATCCTGCTCCTTCTTACCTGCAGAAGCAGAAGTAGAACCAGAATCAAACAGTAGACCCCACAAGGCCCCAACGATCGATAACGCCAACGCGTAGAACCAGAATTTGTAGGCCTCAACGAGAACGGGCTTATTCCAGTACACGGGGTAGACGTTCATCGCGTGTAGCTGTCTCATTAGTCCATCACCGTCGATAAACGAGTAAGACGGAGAAAACTCACGATAGTACAATCCTCCAACACAAAATACAGCCCTAAACACGTCCACCGGCCGAGTTCAAGCAGCGTTGCCGGTAACCTGTCAGCTGCAGAACTGCTACTGCTACTGCCTAGCAGCGCATACACCCGCTCGAAACAATCGAGAAAGTTAAAGAAGCGGAAGAAGCGGCGGGCTAGAGTTAGACGGAGACAGACGCATAAGTACAGATTGGTGCATTGTCTATGATGGAGATACAGGGACTAACTCAGCGCTAGTTGCGACTTGGCGGTTGACCAGGTCGTGACTGTTTCATTGTCGATGCTGGTTTCGATGACGATTGTTGCGAGGGCCTGGATGAGTCGGAGGGTTTTTTCGAGGCCTGCTCCTGTGCGTGTGAAGTTGGAGAATTGTTTGATTGGGGAGGGGGTTGAAGGGGTGGGAGGATGAGGGGCTTTCACTGCCATTGTGATGTTGTTGGCCAGTGTGATAGGATTCAACTGATCAAGATTGAGGGAAATGTTTACAACTTTATGTTGAAGCGTAAGATTTGGCTTTCTGAGCTTATCGGTCCATCTCAGACCGACAATTGTTTTCATGGCGCATCGGCATCTCCACCCCTGAATGCCGACTTGGCGCTCAGTCCACCATCTCAACTACATAACTGCATCCAATATGAAAATGGTAGAAGAACATAAGCACGCGTTTTAGTAAAGTTGGATTCGCGCTTCAGAATAACTATGTCAAATGATCATCTACACATCTTTGGCCAGACAATCGCAGTCAAGCATCTGTACATCACATCAGCAATCTACCGCCCCTTTCCACCAGAAATATCCTGTCCCAGCCGGTACCCTCCAACCTTCTCCCACTCCACCTTCTGCCGGGTAATGGGCAATTGTCTCCGCAGGTTCTTGAACGCGCCCTCCGCCATCTGCACGAACGCACGGTTGAGCTCCTCCTGGTAGTCTCGCTCCGCAGCCGCAATGCGGGAGATGATGCTCTCAGCAGAGATCGACGGAATGGAGATTTTGATGGGCTTGTTCGTGTTGAGAGCCACATTGCCATCCTCATAGTAATGCACGTCCACAAGGATCTTGCCGCTCACGGTGGTCGACTCGGTCACGGGGACTTGATAGATGGAGCGGAAGCGACCGTTCCTACAGCGCGTTCCTCGTTAGCCCATGGACTTTTTGTATTGGTTCGCACACCGACCAGAAGTTGTTTGGCGAGTAGCGATTTGCAACAAGTAGGATCGCGACAGCCGTGTCGTCGTCAGTAGGGTAGACGCCGTAGGAGCAGTTCGGGTAGTGTTCCGCAGCATGTTTAGCGAGCGATTTGAGGAGAGATTTGCTGCACTGGTCAGACCATAATAGAACCTCCAGAGGAACATGGCAACCTACATCAAATCCGCATTTTGCGATTCCAGGACATAGGATTGCGCACCAGACGCTTGCTTTGATCCAATCAGCCTCCACACGCCCCTCATTCCACCAGCAAACCTACCTGTGTTACATGATCCACCTCGAACGACGTCTGACTCTCAACATCAAAGTATCGGTTTCCTTCTAACTTGTTGAATTCACTGACGATGACCTGAGACCGATCACCTTGTTAGAATACGGCCACTTGAGGGTTGTACGCAACGTCGACCCACCTCCTGACTAGCTCCGGGCAGCTTCACGGTTGCCAATTGCTTCTCATTGTACCGTTCGAACGCAGGCGCAAGAGATGGAATAATATCCGGATCGTCCGAGGTAAGTGCCTTGATATCTGTCGTGGACGAAGTGATTCAGTAAGACGATCTGATCGGGATTGAATGCTGCTGGCCTAGGGGATTGCGGGGGAAGTCCTGCGGATAGTGGGCTATGGGAGGTAATACCAGCGACGACATCAGGGAGCTAGAAGTGCCTGATTAGTTTTGCATGCTCGATGAGGGAAACGATCACGTAGGTGTTGAATAGGTGGAATTGGATGCCTACCTCGCCTGGCGGGGCACCCTCGATGAACGAGGATGCGAGGTCAACTGTGGAACCCATCACGGCAATTTCGACTTGAGAATTTGGTGACTCTAGATCTGTGTCTAATATATTTGATTCAGACAAAAATGAACACGAAAGATTCAAGGGGGTACAGCAGCAAGAAGATGTAAACAAGGATAGCGCTGACGACAGCTCAATTGCTTGTCAGCGGAGACGGAGCTCTAGCGCGATAAGCGGCTATCTTGCACGTGGCCTGGAAAAGAGACAGCGGCCATCGTGGACTACAACTGCATCATTGCGAATGCTCTGGGAACCACATCATTTCAATTGACAGGACACTAGGGTAGAATCATATTCAAGCTAAGTACCAGGTTAACGCTAATATTGGTACAAATCCTCTCAACGCCGGGTAAAGGAGTGTCTGCGCCATTTGAAGTACAAAATGCACCACGCTGAAGAGCCAACAAGAAGGTTCAACTAGAGATTATATGGTATATACGAGTCCAGCTCGTGGTTGCAAGAGTCATGAGAATTTACCAGCCCGGATCCAGGCAGAACATTTATTCAATGCTCATATTCATGAAACCATCACTGGCTTCAGTCATACCCTGTAGACCAACGCGCTTTAGAGGCCCAGAGTGCGAGGTATTGGCCGTATTTCTCGTAGGATGCTCTCCGTTCGGTCGATCTGGGAATAGCGAGCCTAAATTAGACTTGGGAGGGGGACCCCAGATGTTGTGACCTGTATCCTTGACCGCGGGCGAATTCGGCATAACAGGACTACTCTGGACACTCATGCTCGGAGACACGGCTCTCCGTTTGAAAAGATTGGGATCAAAGTCATCGTCCCGGCGTCGTTTCCGATTGATCTCGCTCATGGCAGGAAAATTTGCGTGTGGCGTTGAGCTTGTCGATCCCGGTCGATCGTACGGTTTAGCGAATTCGGCTGTGCTAGACCCTAAAGTTGTCGACGGCGTGATATCCATGGCAATATCATCCTCAGACATGGCTGACGGCCCCAATGAACGCATAGAGGGCGGTGGTGTGCGGTAGCGCTCATCAAACGTATTCCAGAACTCTGCCCCCGCAGAGTTACGATGAGCTTCATCACTGAACTTGGGCTCATCCAGGGTAAATGGACCAGGCTTCGTAGATCCCTCTTCCGCGCTCACCCCTGGCACGGAAGGGGTGAGGGACGACAAGGCGTCCAGGCTTGGGGACGTATGCGGAACATCAGGTTCGCTCTCACGGACCTGCCGTATGACCTCCGCCTCACGCTTTGCTTCGCTGTCAATAGGAGCAGACTCCTCCATAAGGGCAGCTCGGATGCGCGCAAATGTCTTTGTTTTAGGCTGGAGATATGGTTAGCTTTGATCATTGCCTCGAGCACTACACTCACGAGTAAGCTTCCACGTCGAGTCACAGCACGCCGAATCACACCCAAAGGCCCGCTGTCTGAAGCGGAACCACCAGCCGAGCTGTGCCCGTGGCGACTCTCCCCCTCATCACTCAGATCGGACAAGCGCAAATCGCGAGTCCCAAGGCTGAGACTCTCGCGACGGGACCCGAGGCCTTGTTTCGATCCGAAATAACCACCGTTAGGATTCTCAATGCTTTTCATCACCGGCGGAGAGAGAGGACCCGGACTCTGCTTCGAGCTATTTCCACTGGCACTGCTGGAGCTGTGTCTGCTACGCCCTTTGCGAAATCGAGCCCGCTGAAAGCTCAGCAGGCTAGCTGCTGCCTGTGAATACCCACCCATCCAATCATTTCCCGGACTAGGGACGTTTCCCGCAGCAAACGGGCTTGGCCCGCCGACCATCTTGTTCGCCTGGGGGGTGCTGGCTATCATGATATCATCCCGATCGCCTATCATCGGTTCATCATCCTCCTCGCTACTGCTTGTATCTGACTCCATCATGTTCACGCTGGACACAGAACTTGAGATCGCGGTTCGGTCGGCCGGGCCCGATGTCGAAAATGGACCCATAGAGGTTGACCCTGGCGAGCCACGCCGTTGCGGGATCGTGACACCTCGGCCGCCGACCGTTGGCGACGAATCAGGAGAAGACTCCGCAATGATCGAGTGGTGTAGATTCGTGCATGCTCGTGAAAAGTCGAGTCCTCGTGAGCGTCGAGGGAGTACCGAGCCCGGGGAGCCGTAGATGTGCGACGGGTCGAGCTTGGGGGAGAGCGGGGCGCGATTTGGTACGGATGAGGACCCTGCTAGCTTCGAAGGTAGGTCCAAAGACAGATTCGAGTAGTGCATGGACGACCGCCGTGGGGTCTCGGGAGTGGAGGTAATGGAGTTGTCATCTTTGCTGGAGGGGCGCGTGTCTCCCGAGACAGACGGCGAGGCGGAGACGGGTTTTGGCGCGTCGGACAGCGAACGAGACTTATGGGAAGGACGCAGTGGCGTTCCGAGGCGACTCGCCCTGTCTCGTGCAGAATCAGTGTCGTTGCTGGATTCACTCTGCTCCTTGCTCTGGGACAACTGCTCGCTCAGTCTGCTCGCAAACGGCGGCACGGGGAGACTGTGCGACAGAGTCAAAGGAGGGGTGGACGACGTCAAATTAGACATTGAGATAGATTCGAATAGGCGTCGAGATCACGCTCGAAGCTCAGATTCGAAGAAACATCATGAAGGTTGAAGTGCTGATAGTAGGTGGTCAGGGAATCGGTCTTATGTTTGTTCGGCTGTGTGGTGTCGTTGCTAGAGTACTGCGCGGTGAGAGGGAGATAGGTCCTGCTATCTTCAAAATCAGTGTAATATCAATTGTGAAGGTCGAGAAGAACGCAATTCGAAGTGCCCGAAGAGAGGAGACGTTGAGGTGATTGTCTCTAAGCGCTGGGCCCTCTTTTCGTCTGGCTGGTCGCGCTGACGTTCCTTGACTGCTCTGGCGAATCACGCGAACTCGTGCCCCGCTTGCGGATCGGCTGCAATTGTTAGCTGAGTTAACACTCTCCAGGCACTAGGATACGAATGCAATTAAAAAGGGTTCAAGCAAGGCATTTTCAGCCAATTGACATGAAGCTCTCATCTCATCGCCTCCATTGTGGGATCGGAATCGATTTGTCCCAGAATATTGATTGTAGAGCAATACTACCCAGAAAGCTATTTGTGAATACCCATATGATGACCCTAGATTACAGAGAAAAGGAAAAGCCAAAAGAAAAGGGGAAAAGAAAGAAAGCAATCAATAGCCGACACGTGTCTCATTGCATCATATCCAGACATAATTCACGCCAGACTCATGGCTGTACTGACTGGGGCAACATACCACTCCCAATCATTGTAGCTCGTGTGATCATTTGCTACTTCCACAGGCGAGCCTTTCAGCATGTCACTATCCCGAGCTTGCCAGACCTTGACAATGACAGCCCTTGTGCGAGCGACATTCGAAACGCTCGATTCAGCCATCGCTGCCAGTGCTCGTAGAACTAGCGACCGTCCATATACCACAGTCTTAGTCATAGGATCAGACCATAGTTCGTCGCGAACTGGGTCCAATTCCACCGCAGCCACAAAGACAGGCCATGTCATGCTCACCAGGGATCGAGAATCGAGTAATTCCGAGACCAGTCGCAGAATGCGTTTCACGTAACCAATGACCAAAGGGGTGGATGGTGAGGAGCCGTACAATGCACAATGAAGATAGAGCACCGCAGCCAATCGTTTGAGCTCCGCAGCTGACTTGAGCATTTCGTCTTCGTCGTCATCGATTTCTTGTACAAGAGTCTCCAGTCTACGCCCCAGAGACGCTGCGCGAAGGGCAAACGCAGCCCGAGCGGAATCGGACGTAAGCTGCCGTCTCGTCCGGCTAAGCTCCGTGATGGATGACAAGATTGACACAAGTTCCGGGCTGCATCCCATCCACAAGTCGATTTTCTGCTCGCTCTCTTCCCAGTAATCTGTCCCGAAAAGGACCTCCTCACCGCATGCAGTCCGGCCCATAACATCCTGGAAAGCGAAGAAGAGCTCAGCAAAGCCAGAGACAGGATCTTGAGATTTCCGAGACCTTGCCAGTGCCCCCTGTTCTTGTCTCCTGGCGCGTATCAACTCCTTTGCGCCTTTCAAGTGTATCGTCCACCGCTGGTCACAATTGTCCACAATCTCGTATAGACAGAGCATCATCATAATAACCAAGACTTCAGGGTCACCCGAACATATCAACGACCCCTCGGTAGCGAGTCTGTGGCGGAGACCTCGCAAAGCTTCAGACTTCAAACGAAGGCCGACAACGCTGTAAGCCGGATCGAAGCGCGACCAATGGCATGCTCCCAGCGCTTGAATAGCTTTGAACAGGGTCGGCGACGCAGACAAGCAGAACGGGAGAATGACGGAGGCAAAAGGTGAGGCAAGTTTCGAACTGGCCGTCGTCCGGGGACACACTTGCTGCAGATAATAATCAAACAAGTGCGTCTGGCTCGACTCTGGAATATTCGGAAACAGCGACAGCGAAGCTGGGGGGCTCGACGCATCTCGCGCAATCCAGCCGTCGTCAGCAACAACCACCGACAAAGGCGATCCGACACCCCCAGACACCAACTCCCTGTCCTTCGCACGGACCAGAATACCATTCAACTCATCACAGGCAACATTCACCTGGCGGGGGTTCTCAAAGGTCGAAACACCACTGTTCAGAAACCCCCAGCTTTCAACAGCAGGATACTCGCACCACTCGTTCTCCTCAACAGACAACGACGCCGACGCCGTCCCTCGAGACTCCGTGCCAGCGGAGCGGGACTTACTCCAAACACCCGCTCGACCAAACGCCAGGCCCCGGCTCAAAAACTCCGACTCCCATTTAAGCACCAGCTCCGTGGAGCACACGAGACCCTTGTCCCGGCATCGGGTGCAAACCGGTTTCTGCGTGTCGCAGCGGACGCGACTCGCGCGGCACTCCTTGCAACCGCTGCGGGTTCGGGTCTTGACCGGACCCACACGGTCTGCAGCCTTTTTACGTGGCATCCGAATTCCGGCGTGATTGATGGGGACCCTTTACATGGCCAGTTTCATGCTGCAGGGACCATTGGTGCGTTTGAAATGAGATGAAGAGGAGTTTGCGGACTTTTCTCGAACCCCAGTGGCAAATTAAATCTCAAGTCTTTTGATCGGATACGAGGTGGTTTGAGCACCGAATAGACTTTGTCAAGGCGGTACGAGTATATACAGTCCGGCAATTCCCTCAAAAGTCCAGTTAGAGCTTAGAGTAGATGGATGATGGATGAAGGATGATGGAGCTTATTGAACATCGCAATCGGAGTCATTATTTCTGGATCGATATGGAAGAATCCGCTTCGACAGGGGATCCGCCAATGAGAGCACGGGATTATCACCCCGCGGCAATTGAGTATGCCTCAGGCATATACATATATTTACAACAGTGGCTGGTTTCAGCGTACATCGCAGACCTCAAGATAGAGCGTAAATTATTGACATGCATCATCATGCTCATGACCAAGTCCTCTCGCCAAATGTCTCATTCAGACCCAATTCTTTCCAGGGTGTTCCCTTTGCGTCAACTGTCCCGCTGTTGACGGTATTTCCCCACCAACTCAAGCTGACTCCGGGAAAGATCAGCGCGAAGAATATCAGGATTGCGGCAACAGCGACACCAGAGTCGAGCGCAGCGGATAGCACGTAGTTGTACTTGGCCCACCAGTGCGGCCTGCGGCCTTTGATCACCTGCCGGCTATTAGTACTTCATGATTTGCATCCATATCCAGAGAGCTGGAAGCTCACCTTATTGAAGATGAAACTGACTGCGAAAGCAGTTGTATAGTTGATGCCGGTCTAGCTCATATCGGTCAGTTAACAAGGACCGTATTTAGGAGACAGATCCATACCGCTGGTGGTAGATTTCCAGTGCCTGCAAAGAAGATCGGCCAGTGAATTGCATCGATGAAGCGTGACTTTGGGAATCTCTTCCGAATAAAGTACGTAATGATAGGAAGCGATGCTCCAATCCAAAACATGTGCAAAAGTCCAGAGTACCTCTGGCCGATGTTATACAGTCTCGTGGGCCCAATCGCTGATTAAACCCGTCAGTCTGTGGATGCATAAAAGAGATCGGCGAAGACGTACCACCCCAGAAAATTGCGCTGTTGTAATTGACTCGGCCTTGCGGGCAGGTAAAGTTGTCAGCCTGATCGCTTGAGCATACATCTTTCACGTTGCCAAGCATCCATATCAGAACACCATCTGGGAGAGAATGTCAACAGCAAGCGTAGAGAAATACTCGTGTCCGAAACTCACTCTGGGTTAGAGTTCCAAGTATACAGGCGACAAGCTGGGCAACAAACAACGTCCGACACGGGATCTTCATGTACAATCCGAGCTGTAGGCGATAGATTAGCAGAGTATTTCAGACGTGAGCGTCATGGGGACAAACCTTCATATCTGCACCATAGTACATTGCTTGACTCAATCCGGTGTATGCATAGAACTAAGAATCATAAGCGAGCGCTAGCAATGAGGAGTGTTGTGTTCGTATTTTACCTTAAAGATAAGAAGCACAAGGGGCTTTCCTTTCAGGGTATAACCCGAGATAATCTCTCCCAGCACGGTCAAAACATTACTGTTCAGATTGGCAACGGCGTACACGGTTCCCACGGGAATCACATAGATTGCCGCAAGGGCAAGAGTAATAAAGAGACCCCAGAATGGAAGCCCTGTGTGCCAGACATACTGAGTCATGATTGCTACCGCCACTACGATGATCTGTCGGGTGTCAGCTTCTCCCGGGAAGATTGCTATAACGCTTGAACTTACAGTCAGGATTCCGAACCACCACCAGGGAACATCGGGGTAGCGGGAAAGCAGTCTTGCGTGGATATCCTTTTTGTTTTCGCCCTTGAATGTGCTAAGGATATCCTTGCTATGGTACAGCAAGACGTGGGTGATCAGACAGCTGAGGACAGCAAAACCGAGTCCATAGCCCAAGGCAAAGGTCACAGGCAGAAAGATCGGACTGTACTCGCGATACTTGGCCTCGTCAATGGCGCCGTTCGCATCGAGAATTCGGCTCGAATTGTAGACATTGCCAGTATTGTCGTACGCATCAGATCCTGTCAAAGGGAGGTATGCAGTGAACCATGTGTTGGTGTAGTAGAGAATTGGGGCAATCACTGCATACACGCAGAACCAGCCGGCGAACACGTTTGCCTGTGCCCAGAACGGCATGACCAAGGGTGAGGTATTGTAAGCAATTTGACTCCAGTCAAAGGTGGTGGGAAGATATCCCAGTCCGGTCGTCATCCCGAACAGATTGTTCAGTACTTTGTTATCTGCAAAGTGACTTGTTAGAGGACATTGAGCTCTTTGGGAGAAACTGAGGACATACTCGGGGCGGCCCAGCAAATGAAAGCGAATGTGCTCAGTCCGGTAAAAATGTAGCCCGGAAGCCAATACCAGCAGAAGCTCCCAATGAAGACATACAAGAAAAAGCGATAACGAGAGATCCTCCATCCGTCAGCGATCGGGTTCGCACCGCTATGAAGTGTCTGAAACAGTGCAGCATTGGCTAAAGTCGAAGGCCAGATCTGGAGGTTGTCAGTCTCGTTCTCCTCTTGTGGTGA